TGGAGAGATGGGAACAGGATCATTTTGGCTGTCAAAGGTCTCTCGCACAGAGACCCTCTCAAAACATAACTAAAAGACCCAGCCTAAAGTGACAAATGATGCATGGTACGTTAGGTCTCTTTTACAAATCACTAGCCCAGTCCCCATTATCTCATATTATTGGAGGGGATTTGCATTCAGCTCATTGAGTAGGCAATTATTAAATCATAAAGGGTTATATGCAAAGATGAGATGAACTGCCAAAAGATCATGGGGCCAAGAATATGTGAATGTAACATAAATTGACACAAGCAATTGCAAAATTAATCTTTCATAGATGACACATAGAACTGTTTATTAGACTGTCGATAAAGTAACACTTTACAGCATTTCACAGTTAGTGTTGGAGTTCTTCACAGGAACCATCTTGGAAATGTTTACACATTAGGCAGATACCTCCATCATTCTTTCAAATACAACTTTACTAATGTTGTAGCCTTGTAGGTAAACTTTCAGCTGATATAAAATTTCTCCCTAAATACTTCTTAGTTGCAGAATAAAGGGAGAAGGATACAAGTGGTCAATCCTCTGCCATCTTTTGATAACAAGTTGGCATACCATTGGTACACTATGTTCACACAAATTTGCCCCCTTAATTGTGTAATTAAAAAAACGCCCCCACCCTTTCATAAAAGTCTGTATCTGCCCATGGTATGCCTGGACTCTGGCATCAATTATCAGTTTGCAGATAGTGAGAACAACTCCAGTGCAAGCCCCCAACTCAGTCTCAGGCATCCTGGCGTGGAGCAAATTGGAAGGGTTGGATCGGAAACCCTCTCCTCAGTTCCCCCTCTAGCGATTAACAACAAAAGCAAGATGTGCCGCTCAAAGGACACCCTTCTAGGGCTGTTTACTTTCCCCAAGTGCTGTGGAGGTGACAAGGCGTTGTCCTTATCATAATACCAACATCTACGTACACTCCACGGCAGTCAGAGTACTTACGTGCTAACTGTTTGAAAGCGTTAAAGGACACTGATGTCATATATTTCATTCAATTTACTTATAACTGTACCTGTGAGGATAGTATAATGCATTATCTTGCTGCTTTATTCACTGTGGTACATTTTACATAGAAACTCAATTACTACTCATTGATATTGTTTTTTTTCTCCAGTATTAGTTCAGTGATATATCTCTTAGAAAGACCCCCAAAAAAGGCATTCATTTACATTTAATTTTAGACATTAATTGCCATTTTTAATAAAGAATACCAGTAGTCATGTCTGGAGAAAAAAAATCATGTACACTGACAGAGTACATTGAGGTCATTATTCTAAATACTTAATATAAGACTATTTATCTTTCACCTCTCTTTTCATTCTTCTTCTTTTTCTTCTTCTTCTTCTTCTTCTTCTTCTTCTTCTTCTTCTTCTTCTTCTTCTTCTCCTTCTCCTTCTCCTTCTCCTTCTCCTTCTCCATCTCCTTCTCCTTCTTCTTCTCCTTCTCCTTCTCCTTCTCCTTCTCCTTCTCCTTCTCCTTCTCCATCTCCTTCTCCTTCTTCTTCTCCTTCTCCTTCTCCTTCTCCTTCTCCTTCTCCTTCTCCTTCTTCTTCTTCCTTCTTCTTCTTCCTCTGTCTTCTTCCCATCTGTCTCTTCCATTCCCCACTTTCTCTACTTTTTCCTCTTTCTCAATCTCTCAAGCATCCTGCAATGTATACATTCTCAACAAGTTAAAACAAACATGCTTCTGGGCAGGTCATACCGGTCAACTTGCCTTTCAATTATCCTTGGTCTCTATAAAGACTTCATTATTATTTTATATTGTATCCTGACGATATTCTACAGTTCAGAAACATACATCAATCCATTCATTATGTTCGAGATTACTACCAAAAAGAAACTTTCCTATAAATATATTTTTGCTCTTCCCAGTTACGACAAATTTCCAAGAATAAATACTCAAATAAAGCTTTCCTTAGCATGAAATAAATCAAAGAGACTTACACAAGACTAAATCTGAATTGGATATCTCTGTAATCCCCACTGGCAAGTAACATTTGGGTGCTAATGACTCGAGGACAAAGCCACGACCTGCAAATAATGGCTTTATAATGGGTTGGTAATGGGCTAGAGAGACTTTGGTATTTGGAGAAGGGGAAAGTCCTCATTAGCACATAACTGTGCTTTTCTGTTCATTTTCACCTATTCAGAGTGTGTTGTATTCCCTGTTGAAATGTTTTAATCTGTAAGTTTCATAAAATGGCAGAGAAAAGGGGAAAGTGTTTTGTGGATATGACAGCCATACAGTTTTCTGTCGAGGAGAATGTAATAGAGAATGTTCAGATTTCCTTTTGTTCCACAATGCAAACAAGCAGTATGAAATCACTAAAAGCCCAGGCAATGTGTACTGTATGAATGATGTACAATTTAACCTCTTGACTCCTAAATGTTTTTCATTCCTCTAGTCTTTATACAGGAACCAGCTGTTTCCTATAGGCAATGGGTTAAGAGTACTGGTACTCACAATGTAATTTCCCTAACACAGGGGAGCTTGCTGATCAAACATTTCAGAAATAAAGCTCATTTCAATGTTGCAAGTCTATTTTAGGGCCTCTATTCTTGAAGGGTGATTACTTTTCCTGGATTACTGGAAAACTTTAAGTTGACTTGAGAATTTTTAAAAATCTGCTTTGTAAGTTTGTAGGTTATAAACCAACAAAGTTTTTTTTCAGACAACAGTCTACAACTTTACAATAGGATTTTTTTGGTATCAATTATGTTACACAATTTGCAGCACCAAATTATTCAACATGGCATATGCAATATTCATAAATCAATGAGTAACAAACTAAATTTAAATCCTCTTCTCAAATACTTGAATTAGAAAGTACAGTTTGCTGGATGCAATTGCAAATTATTCTCTGGCAACTTTGATCTGTTACCAAAGGGACTCTAAAATTGACTCTTTATTTTTTTAACACAAATTTCTCTACCGACTCAACTCTCTTTTCATCCTCTTAAGATATCCAGAATGCCTGTATCAAACAAGATTGTAAATTGTAGCAAAACACTTATCTCTTGACTCTTTCATGCTTCAAATCATTGCAGAAACATGGCACGAATTGTAGTTACTCCATTTTTGACCCAAAAGAGGGCGATATGAAACAATGTTTGAAGGTCAACTTGGAACTTAATGAATGGGTCTTCTTGCATGTCAGGATCATTTTCCTCTCTTTGATTTTTTCTCCCCCCCCCCCTCTCTCTCTCTCCCTCCCTCCCCCTCTCTCTCTCTCTCTCTCTCTCCCTCCCTCCCTCCCCCTCTCTCTCTCCCTCTCTCCCTCTTTCTCCCTCCCTCTCTCTCTCTTCTTTCTCCCTTTCTCTGTTGATTTGCATCTCTTACCTCCTTTCTTCCATTCAACAATGCTTGTACACCTACATGTAAGTACAGCTCTTATGATGCATTCTGTATAAGATTCTGCAATGTAATACCCCATTCACAGTGGCCTCAAACACCGCGACAGCAGCGGGACTGTCCCGCTGCTGTCGCGGTGTTGTCTTCAGTGTGAAGGCTCGGACCCGTTATAAACTATCGCGGGATAACACCGCCTCGCGATAACGCCGCGACAAACTATCGCTAGGTTCGCCTAGCTACAGCAGCGGGACAGTCCCGCTGCTGTCGCGGTGTTTACTCAGTGTGAAGGCTCTCCGCTATAACACCGCGACAAACACGTGTGATTTGTTTACTTACCTATCACTGACCTCTTTTCTCCAGCAATGGGGAACATAAAGTGAAATAGAAATAAAGTAACCAGTGGATTCAAATTGATTTTATTATTATGTAGATATTATAATTATCCAAATAAAAATATTTCACACTTCAAAAAATTAAAATATTCTGACTGGAAGCAATAAAAATGCTAGTTTTTTTAAAATGCCTTCTTCTTCTCCTCCTTTCCCTTCTTTCCATTTCATCACGAAACGAATGCTGCACTCGAGCATAGTGAACTAAAATATTGCGATTCGTTCTCTGCAATTCCAGTAGAATGAAAGCGACAGCAATACGTAAAAGTATAGATAGATCCATAGCTAAATCGAGCTAGCTAGGCTACATGAGGAAGAGTGTGTAAAGTACAGCTAGCGCACGCAATTTCAAGCAATCGAAAACCCCGCGCTGAAGTATTTCCGGTCATATCGGGGTCACTCGCGGGTCATGAGCCATGCATACACGTGTTTGTTACGGAGGTAATAAAAATCACCCGCTGCAGCGTGAATGGGTACATGATATTTATCCCGCTGCTGCAGCGGGATAACTTTTCTACTGTGAATGCATTTGTAGCGGTGTTATGGCGGTGTCGCCGCTCTGCTACAACGCCGCTACAAATTTCAAAACCACTGTGAATGGGGTATAAGACTATGTAATGTGATGCTAGAACAATCTACCCTGTGGAAAGAACCCTTTGACTAAGACCCCAAGACACCCCCCCCCCAATCCTCTATGACGCCTACAGGGTGTACCCACTAAAACAACTAGGCCCTGCTAGGACCCCTCCCCCCTCCCAGAACGACTTCCCCTTAATTTAATCCGACATACAGAGTTGGTTAAGGGTAACAGGGTGTATTCATCATTGAAAATTATCAGTTGTCAATGGTTGGGGAGTAATAGACACTGTTATACTTGATCATAGATATGGTGACAAATCATATTTGTTAGAGCATTTTAGTAATCAAAAAAGAATCTATAATTAATTATCCTCAATTATAGAATAGAACCTTATACTGGAATGGTAAGCAGAGAAACAATGCAATCTGCAAGATATGCACAAATAGTAAACCACCTGTACCACATGAAATTAATCTGTGGTGGTGAAATTTGAAGTTTCACCACCAAATATGTGAATCTCAAAATTACAAAATGTTGAAATTTCATTCAGGATTTTGTTGTACCCTCAAACAAATATACTCTAAGGACAGTTCATCTTTCAGCCAACATGTGCATTATATATGATAATAATGAAAACTTACCCAGTATCCCAAGGATTTGGCTGTATCAAAATACAAGCTTCTTTGCTGTCGACCCTGACAAAAAAATAACATATAAGTTCCTTTACAAATGTTGTCAAATTCCATTTGTTTGTACTTGTACATGAAAAACAAAAATGAACACAAGAAAATTGTAACTATCAAAAGCACTGGATCCTTCCAACCAGAGCTTGAATGTAAGAAGGGTCCAGTGCAAAAGGGCCCTCAAATTTAAACTCTGGACCCTTAATTTCTAAAATTCAAATATTGCAAAAAAACCACTTAGCTGCGTTTCAGTTTCAGGTTGTGGCGACTCAAATTAAAACTTGCGGGAGCTCTTGATGTGACTTAGGAGAACTTTCACAAACTTGGGGTGACTTAGCGTACATGTAACTAGGTACAACTTGAAAATGTTCAAAATTGTCACCAACTCGTGCTCAACTTGTTTCAAATCATTGTATGCCCTCAATGGTTGTAGTGAGCTTCTGAGAAACTCTTCCTAATTCACACTTTATCCCAACCTTAGAGTCAACTGGAGCATTGTACAAATTTCCAAGAACCTAAATTGAGCACTACAAGTTTACTGCAAGTTATCTATGTTGTCTGCGAGGTTTACATGAGCAAAAGACAAGTGTGTTGAGTGACAGTGAGTTTTGCATGTCCCTATCCTGATCGATGGCAAGTTTTGTACGAGTCTATTCAGAGTTCACAAATGCAGCCTGATCATGTGATGGTGCCCGCTGTCCCACATAAATACACACCCGTCCTTGCATTTACCGTGGCTACCATGACTAACATGCCCAGGGTCAGCAAGCCCATGCGTGGTGACCAGAAGCTCAATGAAGACTGCACTTGATTTGACTATTACTACGCTCAGGCAAGTTGAAGATTTATCACTTTGAACTCAATGTTGGCTTGTAGAACACTCACACAAAACTTGTACAACAAGAAATTTCAAGAATATTCAAGAGTTGCACACGAGATTGAGCTTGTGTGTAACTTGCCAAAACTCATAACTATAACTCATCTAAGTGGGAGGGTTCATTTAGAGAGCAGACTTGCCTTCAAAACTGTAGGAGTAGGCTTTATTAACAGAGCTGTACTGACCTGTTCCTATATCATCAGCCATCTTTCTCTTGCTGCCTAGCTTGGGTTGTTGCTTGCCATTTGCTGCTGCGGCTACCATTCCTGGTCTGGGTAGTAGGTGGCCTGGAGTCGGTGCTGGCTTTGTATAGAAGTATGGCATCTTAAGTGCCTACAAGGAATGACAAAGGTACTAGGTTATATATTTCTAGTAGCCTCAACGTGAATATACATGTTGAGCCACTCCCGCCACTCATCCTCTCCAAGCGCTATAGTTCTCCTTAGAACTATAAGCTAAGAAAGATAACCAACAGTCTTTTTCAAGACTACACCAACAGTCCTTTTCAGGACTACACACCCTCAAGAAAGATTACCGAGAGTCTTTTTCAGGACTCCTCAATCCTCCCCTCTCTCTCTCACATGGTGCACCCGCAAGCCTACTGTATATGTACATATACATGTATAGCATTCATTTAAAAAAGAAGCAAATAATCATAAATGTATATTCATCATGATCATGTATATTATATCAAATGTATACTAAAACAGGGCCCTATGAATGTCAATTATATGTTGTTCCTATGTTCATAATTATGTTGAAGCAAGATTGTTCATGTGCACATAAACAGTTATCCTATATGGACACAATAAAGAAATGAAATGAAATGAAATATACATTCAATGACTTCTTGTTTGATTTGCATGGGTTTTAAACAGTGTTCTGCATCTTCAGAGCCTGACAAAATTCTCACTTTACTCACAGAATCAAGGAAATGGCAAAGGGATTATCATCTATAGTCCTATCTTCTATTAGTCCTGTGGCACATCTGGTCCCAGATCCCATTGGTCTAAAGAAAGCCGATCTTAACCCTAAAACTAACCATAATCTAATTGAAAATAGGACCAAGGGGGATGAACTCTAAGATTTGGTCTAACTACCCATTGCCCTATTTTAAAATACATGTATGAATACACTATGAAGCCACTATGATCAAAGTACAATTAGTAATGCTGATTTAAACAATTTCTACAACTTCCTTTACTTCAAAAAGTTTGTTTTCTTCATATCTGATGTTACCCTTTCATCATAAAACATAACAGGTTTATTGGAGAAACATTTCCCAAAGGGAAAGGGGTTGACATATTCTTCTTTTGAAAGTATTAGTCTGGAATAACTATTACATAAAACCTGTCAATTGTAAACCTCTACTTGCATTACAAAATATTGAGTAAATCAGTTATTGAGTAAAAATCCTAGACAGCATCAAGTTTCTCATAATAACTCTTACTGAAGAAGTATCATCACAAAATAAATTGTTTCATGGGATAAATTTCTATTTTTGTCCATCTTACCTGTAACTAAATACATAGAGTGCCTCATGAGATAAAACTTCATAAGAAACAAATTTTGATTTTCAATAGGAAACATTATGTTTTCCTTATGAAACTAGACAGAAATTATGGCATTCAAAATGAAAATGAAATTTTGCCATGAAACACTACAGCACAAAAAGCGTCAAACCAATTTTTAGTCCATCTAAGACTTAACAACACTTACCTCAGTGGCCTTACATCGTCTGCAAGGATCCATAAGAAGAAGACCTTTGAGAAGGGTCAAAAGGTCATCCGTGCCAGCAGTGAAGATATCTCGGAGAGGGGTACCTGGAAACTTCTTAAACTCGATATAGTCTGCTAGAGCTGACATATTCTGTGCATATTCAAAAATAGTAGTAAACAATAGTTTAGTAGTAGTAAATAATAGGTGCACCCACAAGCCTACTGTATATCTACATCACCATGCAAGCCGACACTTACAAGCAGCATCTAATAGTAGTTAAATTGAATAGATCTTGTTCTGCATTGTAATACCACATGTGCCACTCTCTCCATCCAAGTTGTAAATTGGATATAGTGCTATAAAAGAAACAATTTATTATTATTATTATTATTATTAGTTGGCTATAACAAGGGTTATAATGTCAGAGCACCATCAACATTACAACACGACGGATATGAGTGCCAAGAAAGAAGCCATTATCATCAGTATTATCATTAACATACTAACTATTCAATTCTCTCATTCCTAAAGTCTTAAAGTGTACAAATCACCTGAAAGATAACCAAAATTGTGTGTGGTAGAATTTAGAAAATCAATCTAAAAAAGTTTACCTGATATCATAAAAACCTGCATATAAGGCTCGCACCCTATTCAATGTGAGTGCGTATGCATGTGTTATTAAGTAGTCTACTGAAAAAAATTGTTTTACAGTTCCCTGGGAGTGTGTTCAAACTGCAATATCTCTTTGTAGAAGTAACATTTGAAGCTCATCGTTTGACTACAGTATAGCAACATGGAACCCCTTACGTTAAAGGGATTGGGTAACTTTGTCTCAGATTTTGAAATAAAATCCTGGATTTAGCTCATGCAGCAATGATAATTATAAACCTTTCCAAAGACTTTTACAAGCCGATTGCCTGTCTAATTATCAAGATATTTATGATTGGAAATCGAAATAAAAATTTTCAGTTTCCTAACGGTTTTCATAACACTACGGTCTATTACGGCAAACAAACCGGTCACTCAAAGATTTTCATTTTTTTGAGGCACTTTATGGTCATTTTGAAGCGCAAGTTTTGTAGGGCTTCAATATTACACCATATCAAAGACACTAATAACATGTAGGGCCATGCATCTCAGATTTAACATTGTTAAACGCTGCTTTTAAGAGCAAAAACATGTTTAGGGGATTGGTACACTTTAAATACAGGATCACTGAGTTTTTAAAGGTTAACTAGAAATAAAGTGTACAAACTGATGTTCTTACTGGCCATTCCTCTTCTGAGGGTGTCCCCATGGTCTGGAAGATCCTGCTCAGCTGGTCCAGGTCTGATTCCCCGGGTAAGAACGGGACCCGGAGGAGTAGCTCTGCTAGGATGCAACCCATGGCCCACATGTCCACCCCTGTGCCGTAGATCCTGGCCCCAAACAACAGCTCTGGGCATCTGTACCATCTAGGAGAACAAGGGATACCCCATACAGTATGTTGAATAGGAAGTTTTTAGAAAAACAGGTTGTAGAATATAGTCAGTCTAATTAGTCAAAAGACATCACATCGAGGGTTCAGTGACACAAAGACTGAGCACTTGAGCCTTAAGGAGTTAAGTCTATGTTTCACTAGCCATTGACTTCAATGGGGTGTTGGGTGGAGTTAAGTCTTTGTGTTACCTGGAAAGCCCACATTTTTCTCAACATTTTGATATCAAATACTCATTTTGGCAAAATATGGAGTTACATCTTTGTGTCACTGAATCCTCGACATGAACGTGCATCATTCTTTCCTAAGATACTATACACAAAAATTCCCATCAAAAAGTTATGCTGCAGAGCAAGAAGCAGGTATGAGTGTCTTTGACACGTAAACATTAAGACACAATGAAACACAAATAATTTCAAATGGCAATGACATTGATGCGCACATTAAGATGCACATACTGCTTACATAACATCATTTAATAAAGCAAATGGTGGCCTCCATGACTTACTGTGTGTATATTGTGGTGTTTCAATTGGATCTTGATGCTTATTTTCAGACTTTACAATCATATTGTAGACCCGTTTTTTTTTTTTAATCATTTTTTTTCAAAGGAATGACGTTGTTAATAGATCCCATATTTTGTAAAAAAAAAGAGGGCACACTATTCCAAAAATTAACTGACAAGAGAAAAAGATTTTTCATTACCTTTTTACTCAACAATTCTCTTCCAAACAAAAAATCCCCAGCATTTACAACACAATTTTTGCACTGTTAATGCAGGTATGTGATGAAGATGCATATTGTTTCTGTACTTTAATTCTCTCCATTCACACATTCAATTGGTTCCTAAATGCATTCATGTTCCTCTTTTGAATATGTTTTAAAAAGCTTATCCTGTGGTTGAATTGTGCATAGTGTTTTTCAAAATGTAGGAGAGAAAAAGAATATAGTACATGTTATATTTCTAGACCTGTGTGCCTTTGTAAACTGTGCATTTTTGGTGCAATAAGAGAACTATTTGTACCTTGTTACAACCTGATGTGTATAGATCCTGTTTGGGCTGCCATAGAACTTTGCCAAACCAAAATCTCCAATCTTCAAGACACCATTCTCATCAAGCAGCAGATTGTTGGGCTTCATGTCCTGTTGATATGAAGTTATATAAAATTATTTAGAGGAAACACTGGCAATGTCATGAATTCAACAAGTCTTAGTATGAATTACGACTGTAAAGGTTAGAAAGCATCAGAAATTTCTCACAATTTATTTGTATCACTCTTAATGGTCACAAGTGTCCTTTGGCAAAATATTATTCTACATTTGCCATTCTCCATTCAGGTATTAAAAGGGTACCGGTAGGAAGGAATTCCTTGAATGCTGTAAGCAATGCTATAAGCATTGACATCCTTAGCCTAACAGAGCGGGATAATATTTGAGCGCCTTGAGCATCTTGTGTGGTGGATATATGCGCTGTGTATTATTAGTATTACATTTATACAAGAACTATCCGGCTCTGGTTGGTAACAAGTTAAAAGGGTTTATGATAAGACTAAGCGCATTAACTGACACAGTACATTGAGTTAAACAGGTTATAATAAGACTAACCGCATTAACTGACACAGTACAGTGAGTTTAATGGGTTATGATAAGACTAAGCGCATTACCTGATACAGTACAATGAGTTGAACGGATTATGATAAAACTAAGCGCATTAACTGACACATTACGGTACACTTAAAGCCTGTCTGCACTAGTTTTGCCAGGAGGGATTAGACCTCCCAGTGGTCACCTACAGGCGGTTATCTCATCAAATCATCTCTCAATTAACATAAGAAAAAGGGGATCATGGGGGACCAATGAGTACCACTTAGGCATTGTTTGCTATATAGAGGGCGCAAGTAGCTACAAATAGTGCAATGGGCTGTAATTGATTGTTGTAGTCTCACCCTATGTAAAATCCAGTTAGCATGAAGGTACTCTAGACCCCTTAAAGCCATCATGGTATAAGCCTTGATGTGTGATGGAGTCAACACTACACTGCTATCTTTGATGATCACCTGTAAAAGAAGACAAATAAGGAAAAACACCTAAATTAATTACAAGAGAGGATGCACTTCTTGACAAAGACAATTCTGTTACTCCATAAAACAACATAGCATAAATTAGCATACCTGCCAACATGTGAAAATAAGAATTAGGAATTTTTAGCACGGTATGCCTTAAAAAATAAGAAATCGCACTTGCAGCGGCAGTATAACTGACAATACGCGGTAAATCTGCACCAAAAAGTGAATACAAATTCACTGCTCGATCATGCATCCATTCAACGCACGCAATACATGAACTCTCAAATTCGCTGCACATGATAAAACAAGATAATTTGGCTTTAGCAACAACAACAACAACAACCACAAAAAAAAAAAAAAAAAAATTGAAAAATCTGAATATTCTGAATTTTCATGTCCTCAAAATCCAGAAAATCAGAAAAATAATTCTGAATTTTCAGGTCCTCAAAATCCAGAAAATCTGGATATTCCAGATTATTTGGAAGGGTTGGCAGGTATGAATTAGGCCATAATCAAAAGGGCATTGGTTGAGACAAAGGATAATCACAATTAATAGGACATAGATTGGAACTCAGAAATACCTAATATTTTCTCAGTCATCAAATAATAATACAGATCCATATATCTTCACTTTATAACATATATAATGCCTGATTCTTCATGTTTGCATTAATATAAATCAGTCCTATTGAAAACTTTAGAATCATAAAAACAACACTCTGCTACACAACTTTAGACAAACTACATAAATCAAAGATAATAGAGTACATGTTATCCAGAAGTAAGATCATGGAAAAGGGCCATTTGAATCAAAATTGTCTCAGAGAATAGTTCTTAGTGATACAAGATTTTGATAATTTTGAACTTGGTATTCTCAGGGTTATAATAAATACATACCTCAAGATCTGTCTCCATGAAGTCAAACACAAGGCTGATGTTGGATCGTTGACCAAAACAGTCAAGAAGCTACAAGAAAGGGGAAAAACACAAACAAATTCATCAGAAGAAATGGTCAAAAAGAAAATGAAGAAGGCATTACTAATGAATCAAAACAAATTAACCACTTCTATGGCACAATACACCAGTTTACAGTTGTATCAGTGCGCATGCGCAGACAGTTGACCTCGGGTCATTGGCCCCAAAATTGGGGCCAATAACCTCTGACCTCTGGTATTTATGCGTAAATTAAAATTGCGCCCATGCAAATGATGATGTGCGCGCACAACGCAGCGCGCAGGCAGTGATGTCATCATTATTTGCATGGGCGCAATCTTAATTTACGCATAAATACATGACTCCTATAGGTCATTAGCTTTGTTTAAAATGGCGCACACAACTGTAAACTGGTGTATTAATCAACAATAAGGTTTTGTTTCTTCTCTTCTTTGGGTTAAGTCTACCTCCTTCACAGTTGAAGATTCTTGCAGAATGATGAGTGTGTGTGTGCTTACGAGCGCCAGGTGCATGGTGCAATGCTATTAACATGGTGCAAGTAAAAAGTTCCTGGACTTAGTGGCTGCCTCCCGTCAGGCATTGACGGAAGGGATTGACGGATGAGGCACATACTGTTTCTGATGGCAGGTTATTCCAACTCTTCACAGTCCTGGGAAAGAAGGACTGCTTATGTTGCTCAGTTCTTGAACGGAGGACTTGGTAGCTATGTGCATGGGCAGTCCTGGAGGGTCTTGTGACAGGGTTGATGTAGGATGCTGTGTCGAGTGCTACTAGGTTGTTGTGGAGCTTGTACAGCATCACCAGTCTGTAATTTTCTCTGCGTTGCTGGAGTGTGGTCCAGTCAAGTTGTTGGAGCATGGAGGTCACGCTAGAGGTGTTGTGGTACCGATTGAGGGTGAATCTAGCGGCCCGTCTTTGTACCAATTCTATTTGATGGATGTGGTTTGCAGAGAAGGGATCCCAAACTGTAGCACTGTACTCAATGAGTGGTCTTACTAGAGCTTTGTAGGCAGTACTCTTCAGGTCGGGTGAGTTGATCCGGAGATTTCGTCTGAGGAAGGCAAGGGTGTTGTTTGCTTTTGTTTGCTTTCTGGCATATACTTGTCATGTGTTTGTCCCATTTCAAGTCAGATGTGATTGTGATGCCAAGGTACTTGTTTCGGTGACATTGTTAAATTGGACATGAATTCAATCTTAGTCAAGACTAAACTTCATCATGAAGTTACTCGTGCCTGTTCAACAAAGAAAATGTACCCTTCTCAGTCTCAGTCAAAGTTCATGCTTAATTTCTTGGGCAGGATTGGCCACCCACAACATCGAAGGGTTAAATGTATAATGCTTGAATGTTAAAAACCACTCACCCCAATCACATTTTCATGTTTAATCTCCTGCAGCAATTTGATTTCTCTAAGAGCCGTCCTGTTGATGCCATCCTGGGCCTCAGACCTGTGCCCAAGCTTAATCTGTAGTAGGAGGCAGGAGAGACATGTGAAGAAAACAAATTAATGATAGATAATATATCTGGATTTATATAGCACTTAGTATGGAATCAATCTCTAAGCACTTAACAGATATTATTAATTCGGTAATCTGAGCATTTCAATGAGCGGCACAGTTTGCTGCAGTATATCTGAACACTAATAAACCAAGGGGGTTTACAGCGCCATATCTTAACAGGCCTTTAGAATACAGCTGAATTCAAATTCTTGATCCCGATTTACCTTTTTCACTGCTACTATCTTGCCATCATGCTGAAGATCGAGGGCCTTGTAGACTGTAGCAAACTGTTAAAAAAAAAAAAGTATATAAATGTATTAAAAAAAAACAAAGTTATATCGTAGACTAACTTTGCTGTAATTTAAAAGTGCTCACAAGGAAAGGTTTAAAGAAGAAGAGGAGGAAGAGAAAGAAGAGAAAGAAGAAGAAAAAGAAGAAGAAGAAGAAAAAGAAGAAGAAGAAGAAAAAGAAGAAGAAGAAGAAGAAGAATGAGAAACACTATTATTGTACCTCTCCTGTACTTTTAGAGTGATCAATAGTCACAGTTTGAAAATAAAGTCCAAGTTTTGGTATCCAAACCTTGGCATGCCATGAATTGGACTGGCAGTGCAGTGAACACTGTTTATACAACTTACTCCCAGATCCTAATCAAATGATTGGTCATGCGCGGTCACGTGTGATTCATTTACCGAGCCTATTGCACTCGTTTTCATAAAAAGGAGTGCAATATTTTCCAGTACTATTGAACTTGTTTTCAGAGCGCAGTAGTGCACGTAGAGGTTACAGCGCTTAATACTGCGTGAGCATGAGCCCATTCTTCCGCAGCACTATGCGTAAATGGGTATATAGGTAATTAGTGCGCTTGCTATATCTATAGCTATCTGTGCGCACTAAATTAAGCCTTATTAAACTTGAGATTTATTACTGTCACAAAACAATCTTGAGTGAATTACTTTTACATCAAATAACAAGGACCTAGGAGTTTCGTTGTATAAAACAAATGATGCATGCTTTCATTCGTTCATTATACGATCTATCCGCCCTCGTTGATGATGTGTGTATCTATCGCACTCAGCCTAACGGCTTCGTGCGATAGATACACACAGCCTCAACTCGAGTGCGGATAGATCATATAATGAACGAATGAAAGCATGCATCATTTGTATAATAACAATTAGAAACTAAACGTTCCCATGATGAGTATGCTGTATCACTCACTAAACCATCCACATGTAGGAATGTGTCAATTCCATCAGCAGTCGACTTCTTATTTGAAGTCATTTAACTATCCCAAAATAACTGGCAAAATTCAAGGAAAATACTTGCCGTTAAGGAAAAACGATGAAGAAACATATTATCTATTTATATACAATTTACAAACTCATCAATTGGATCTTAATCACCATTCATTATGACAGTATCACGTTGATCAAGTAGAATTTTTCGTGTGTTTGGCCGGTTGACCTTACTCCTGAACATCTCACATTAATTTGAGAATGCAATCACCTATTGTAACAGTCCTAGCAGTACGGAATAATAGTGTGCAGGTTCAAACTATAAATAATCTTGGACATCTCACGAGTGTGACTTTTTCTTTTTTTGCCGAATAATTTTGACTTGGTAAATGTTAGATTAGAGTAAAGGAGCCCGTTTTCGGCCACTTAAGACAAAATCCTATTTTTAGGACTCTTTACTTCCTATTTATTATCATTTCTTGTTCAAATCATGAAGCAAATATTATTATTATTTAAACAAAAAAAGAATCCCAGAAAAAAATCACGAATTGCCATGACAATATTCATTTCAATTTTCACTGTTTTGGAGCCCGTTATCGGCCGAGCGTTTCAGTTTACGGCCGCATGTACAAAGTCAATAGGAAGCGCTCGCGCGCGCCGTGCGTTTCCGCGCTGATGTACAGCACAAGCGGGCGGAGCAGGTATCCCACGCCGGAGCTCCCTGATGCTCGCCTGGCCGAAGACGGGCACAGCGGTGATCGGAAGTTGGAATCTGAATTAGACAGAGATATCGTGTGTGCGTCGCGGTGTGCGGCTGCATTGATTTAATACATGCGATGACATACTTTTGAGCTTGCGACTAGCACAAAATCGGGCTCTAAATCTGAAAAATACTCGAAATAAAGCTCATTTTATGGTACCCATATTTCTTACAGACACGCGTAAGATACTCGATTTTTCAGATTTGGGTAGCGGGACCGGCGATTACATCGCTAAAATGTGATATTTTAGGATATATTTTCCATTGCAAATGTGGTTCTTCAGTGACACTGGCATGGTATGGTATGTGTGGGATATGTGTTATGCTATTATGCGATGTATTTTAGAGTGATTTTACCTTGCATCCAACCAATCGGCCGAAAACAGGAGCTGGCCGATTACGGGCTCCTTTACTCTAGAATTCTTTTTCTAATTCTATAGACTAGAAATACTAAAATTACAGAGTACAGAAATTTTATCAGCTTTCTTAATCTTATAAGTGACTCCAACCTCATAGGCTCACACTGACAACATTAGTTTACGATTCCTCTTATCTTGTCTAGAAAAAAATGTATTGAAGCACGCTACCTGATCCCAAAGTGTCCTCAGCCCGGTGGGCACGGGTGAATACATGTCAAATTTCGCATACACAAAAACCAGCACATGGGACAGGCTGTACTTGTCACGGGACTTTTTAATATAAGATGTAGATTTATATTAAACAGGTGAACTTTAGTAAAACGATATGAATTAAACTTCACCTACCTGACCTTCACCTAAAAAGTCTATATTTTCATATAACTTGGAGCGATCTCCTGCCAGCATGTTCCGAGCCATTTTAGAGAAGAGTCAGCAGCCAGCGAGCCTTCACCTCGAATACACAGCTTCCGTCGCTTGATGGGGGGCTTCCCATACTATTATTATCTGGATCGTACAGTTGTAAGATGAGATACTCTTTTTAAAGCTTATCTGTACTAGTTTATAGGAGGGACTAGACCATCCTGCAAGGTCACTGGATAGGTGGTTATCTCATCAACTGAGCTCTCAATTAACATGATATAGGGCTTACCTTCATCTGTACATATTATGATCGTGCAATAGCTTCGAGACTGGTTGTTGTTGAAATTGTATTCTCAATGAAAATTAATTTTTTGTTGATGTTTTAATATAAATATTGATGGCAATGATATAAATTATAATAATCATAATAATAATGATAGTAACAGTAGTAGTAATAATGTTAATAACGATAATGATAATGATATTATATTTTTTTTTTACAACGTGATGATGGTGTTAATGATTAACAGTAACAATATGTTACTATACCTGTCATGAATTCACAATTTAAAAAAAAAATTGTCATGCAATGTTTTTTTTTTTTTCTTTTTTTTCTTTTTTTTTCTCTTTCTTTTCTTTTTTTCTTTTTCTTTTTCCTTCGTTTTTCTCCCTTTTTCCTCCATTTTTCTTCTCATCTATCTTTTCTTTTTAAAGCTTTATTTTAACCAATATCAGGTGCATCTAGTCGGGTGTGGGGAGGAAGGTCTGCGGATCACAGTTATTTGGTTAACTTTTTCCATACCCGGGCAGCTCGACCGGATGCACCTGCTATTGCAATATTTATATATGCTTTCTATTGATTTTTTAATCTCAATTCATGTTTGTTATATTGTTGTATTATGTGACTTGATTTGCCAAATAAAATAATAATAATAATAACATGAGAAAAAGAGGATCATGGGGGGATCGACCGATTAGGCATTGTTTTCTATATGAAGGGAGCAAGTAGCTACAAGTAGTACAGTGTGGCTTTAATTTCTAAGCCAAGAAGCTTTTAAGGCTACAAATCGGTCAGGGCCTACGTACCATAATAAGGCCAAATAAAATTGATCAAAATAATTTGTGATTATCCTTTTTCTGAACCAATGCCCTTTTCATTATGGCCCATATAACGTTTCTCGTCCATGCACGCCCGCCTCCTAGCTTTTTTGTAATACTATTTACTATTTAGAAGAAAAAGGAAAAAAAGAAGGCCGTGACCATACATTTTGTATAAATAGCTTCTATAGCTAATTTAAGCTGAACACAAGTCATGTACATTTTTACTGTTTCTGAATTTTGCAACTTGCTTAGCGGCAAGTGGACTAAATCGGATACAAATAATTCGTTTTGTCATACAGTGCATCAGTATAGGCCAATTAACTCAAATCCCAGGGGTCTCAGTCATGTAGAAATACTGTATGCATGCGTGACCACAGGTTTTCCAGACACCCCCAAAACGAGGATCTCTTCTAGCTGAAGCCAAAATAAACCATAATTCGTGTGTTTTTTTTCCCGAATTCACACCCCAAACCGGTATTTCACAACAGTTTATGAGTACCGAAGCTGTGACATCATACAAATCTATTTTTAGAATTTCTCAATTTTTTTCTTCATTTTCCGAAAGAGCATAAAAAATAATGTCCGAATGTCGAATACAATTTGAATATGTTAAGTATTGGCTGAGATATGACCATCTGAAGAAATAAATGAACTCTGTGTTATATTGCTCTGTCTCGTAAAATTATGAACCAGAGCAATATAACACTGAGTTCCTATATATAGGAAATCTATGTATTTAGATGATCCAATTTTGTAAAATTGGTAACCCCGTAAGCATTTTGAAATGCGATAGGGATTATTATTTAAGTTGTTGACAATGTAAAATAAACCAAATTGCGCTTCTGATATAAACTTCACAATGTAACCATTTATTTCAATTGAGAAACAATAACATCAACCTGTACACTTCCTAATGGATTTAATGCACAGCCATCATAAGTCCTTTCTTTGAAAAAAAGAATTACATTTCAAAATGATTTGATATATTTTATATAAAGTACATGTAGTGTTTACAAAAAGTACACAATGTACAATGAACAGTTACTATTCGACTATGCAAAACATATATAAATGTATAATGCCTGTGGAGTTCATGAACAAATTTACCCTATGTCAATGACACCCATCCATATCAGCACGGCGCATCTAGTAATTTATAAAAGAAAATTGGTGACTTCTGTTTAAATAGAAAATTAAAATTTGCTTTCTCTTTCTTTACACACCATCTACACTCCCTGGGAATTATTCCTACCATAAATTATGGTCACAGTGGGGGCATATTGCATAATTCTTACACAAAACTTTCCGTCATCCTACCTGGGGTTGTTTCACTAAACCCTAAAATCGATTTTAAGAGCCTAAAATTAATTTTGATTTTAGAAGCTGTTTCATGTTATAAATAAAATCGATTTTTATGATAAAACAGTTCACAAGTATCAGTTATAAGCTAAAACCGATTCGGCCTTAAAAATGAATTGTTAAAATCGAAATCAATTTTTTAGATGAAACATTGATTACTTCCATTTGTTTTTTCTTCAAAATAAACGCTTTTCATACTTTCAATTTTAAGGTAGTAATTTTAGCTGATAACCAACTATTTATTTTGTTTTTATGAATTCAAAACAGGAGTGGGTGGACCCTTATCAAGAAGATGCAATTAATATTTCACAGCAAATGTGACTTATGTTTTGCAGTGCTAATAAATGCGTTTCGTCAATATTTGAGGGTTATCGAAAAGTAAACCTATGACAAGTATATGTGTCTGATCAAAGCAGTTACATGTATTAGGAATTCACTTTCAATTAAACGCTTTCTTTTTCATGTTGTGTCATAAACTGACCGATAGTTAACAAACAACTTTAGGCCTTTTTACTAAAGTCACGATAATCATAACATATATATAAATTTCTACAAAATGAATTGTCATTTCTACTACATTACAACAACAGATTATAGCTAATATCCATAACAGAAGCTGTAGTTGGAATCATTAACGATCGGCTACATTGATAATCTTGGGAATGACGACGCAGGGGGTCCAACATAAAGTGTTATGTTGTATAGATTTGAACATTTGAAATCAGTATGTGCATGTTCTTCTACATTTAGATTCACATTTCAAACATGTGAAAGTCACACAAGCTTGTTAACGTTAACGTTAATGCTTTCGCATAATATATTCAAGATTAAAGTAGGAAAAAACGCTTTTGATGGCCTCTTAATATTTCGGAAGGTTGTCATAGGAAATTTTCTGTTTTTAGAAGAGTATTGTTTGGCATCTTCCTCGCCCCAAAATATTACTTAATGTTTTACTTAAAGATATAGACCGGTAGTGGTAAAATTGCGGTTCAAGGGTTTTGGGTGCAAAATATCCATTCAATATTGCCTTCAGAGGTTTAGATGACAATACTTCAACCTAAATTCGCAACAACAAAAAATATATAGAGATGTCCAAATGTACAATGTTGAAGTGCATTCGCGAAATATATCCAGGCCGGATCGATATGATAATTTACCAAATATATCAATTAGTAGGCGGTTTCCCGGCAAAATTTGTATCATCACGTATTAGTTAAAACATATAATTTTACATGATTGGTAATAAGAGTTTCCATTTCATTTTTTGAGAGGGGGCGTTTCCAAAACTGGTCTATACCTTTAATCTCACAATTTTCTGTACAGAATATTCATTTTCTATATGAAAATACAAGAATTTCTCCATGTAACACACACACACAAATTATTTGCACAGCGGTGAATACCCTAACAGGCTTAGTTCAATCGGGTTCCTAAAACAGTTATTTACACAAGATCATATTTTATACACAAACTCATTATTTACAATATGAACATATTTTACAACAGTAACTTTGCCAAAGTGTCAAGGAATTCTCACTGCGTTCATTTTCTTTTCAATTGAATGAACAATTTTATATTAAAACCAAAAATCTGGATGATACTTTTATAGTACCACTGAATTGCTCACGCGACCGATTATCCTAAACATAAGAAAGTGTTCATTTAAGGTTATTTTAAGCAATATAATTTCAATATCACAAATGTCTCTTTTATGCTTTTGATCCCTCTAAAAAAAAATCAAATAGAGATATAACGTAAAAGTATTTTCAAGTCTAGATTTCAAGATTGAAATTAAATCCAATGTTCATTTAAAATAGACATTGTCTCAAATTTGACCCGTATCAGACTGCTTTGATGGTGTTTTCGAAAAATAATAAACCCATTTCAAAATTTAGTTTTACTATATATATATATATATATATAATGTCTCTATCTTTTTAAAATACATCGTTCGCGTAGGTTTCCTGATACCCGTTGCACACGTTGCGTCATTTCGAATACGTTGTTAGTTTTTGAAGGGAATTGTAATAATGATAATAATATGGATATTTATATAGTGCCGGTCTCCGCCAGGCTCTGACGCTCATGGCGCTGTACATAATTATTAAAATCTCGAACATATCACTTTCGAGAACAGTAATTCAATGCATTTTTACACCGTTCATTTCACAGTTACAATATGAAGAAGGCTCAGGTCAAGATCGCATGGTGCGTCAAACATAATATATAGCGCCAGTCGGTGACGTAGTCCTACGTCAGCCATATAACACCCTGTGTGAAACTAACACCATTATAACACTCTACTTCTTTTCAGCGAAATGTGCATCGTAGGCTGCATCGTAGGCTGGCGGAGGTGACTTCTCAGCTCTCGCTTTGAACGTCGATGTCGGAATGGTTTGCATTGGACGGGTCCTACTGCGATTTCGAGAACAGAAGAAGGAGATCATGACCCAAACACCTTCGAAGATTTCGAATATGGTGATGACCGAAAGACCGAGCCAGAGTCCTAGTTGACCTCCCATGTCACTGAGGAGATCAGGGATCTAAAGAAGAGGATAAGAGTACAACTACAAAGCAGTTCCATCAGAAAACATTATAAGGACGATTCTGTACAGTGTCTTCTGTATTCATTATACAAATTCAATCAATGAATGAAAATTCTCTTGGTCAGATTATATACGAATATTTTGGTAGTGATGCCATTAACGCCCATAACCGTATTGATGTGTCATAGAATCAATTTTTTTTTTAATAAGCTCCGTTCGATGTAAATCTCCATGTAAAAACAAGTATTTAAAAATCACGTGACGTCACGTCTTTTCTCCCGATCGATGTGTTGCACCTTTATGAGAAATGACATTTTGAAAGCTTTGTTAGAGGCTAAGCGTATTTCATTGATGCCTCAAGAAAACTTTGTGAATAGTACGGCACTTATCTCAGTCTAAAATGTATGAAGATCCATGTAGTGTTTCAACTTATATTTTGGGTAGTGAATGCTCGGAGCCAGAATTAAAGGTTATGACTAAACGCCCTTCTGACTCCAAACGGACGGACTACATCACTGTAATTACAGGGAAGAGAACTTCCATCCAAACTGGTAATAAAGAACCTACCGTATATGCCGGGTCTTGTCGAATATATTCGTAGTTGAACTCGTCAAAGTAGATCTCCAATTTAGCCATGTTACTCCTAGAAGAGAGGATAATTAAATTCGAATACTTATAAAAACCTCGCTTTTTCTGGATAGTTGCGGTGCGAAAAAGGCCCTGCCTATATTTTTTCCGCCTCCAGAAATGTCGTCTTTGTATAAGTTTTAGTAAGTTTGATTTGTGTATAGATCTATTCCAATACTTTTATCTCGATAATTGTGGCGGGGGAGGGGGTGAAGGGGGGGGGGGGGGTAAGCACTATTTTTTTTTTGGCTCAAAGGGGGAGTGAACATTTTTTTGCGGCCAGGATGGGGGGGGGGAGCATTTTTATTTTTTGTTTAAAAAAGGTAAAGTGAACGTTACCATCTTTTTTAAAAAACCTGTATTTTGTCAGGGGGCCGGGCCCGTCGCCCCTGTATAAGTGTCCTGATAAAGTCAACATCAGCCAAATCGGTAGGCTGAAGTTTTTAAAGTGGGTTTATTTCGATTTTTGATTTATAATTCTTAGTTTCAACAGTCATTCTAACAAGTGTCACATTGCCTTGTAATCAAACTCAAGATCAAGAAAGTAAGATACTCACACAAACACGCGGACGTTTTCATATCGACAAGTTCGAGGGGAAATAGAATATTTATGAGTTTACGAAAAAAAGTTCTTGCGACCTCACCTTGTCCAGACAGATGGGCTTTGACCTCTGATCTGTCTCTTCATCTCCTCATTAGATCTTATCATCTTTTCAAAAAGTTTCTTCTGTTAAAGATGGAAAATAAAGATGATAGATTTGTTGGCCAATTCATAATATACTGTGCTTATATCTATCCCAGAGATACTCGAGTCGCCTACGTAATCAGCGCCGCTGTTCCATAGCGCTGAAAGCATTTAGGGAATTTCTACCTGGTACCCACTTACGACATGGTGGAGAGATACATATTATAGAACTGATGTCTTGCCAATGGCCCCGGCCCCCCCACTCAGGTTTCGGAATGACCGCATGCGTGTTGCCAAAATGTCCGGTAAAGGGGTACTTTTCGTGCGACAAAGTCCGGCCCGAGAATTGTAAAAAAAGGGGTGTATTTGACTTTTCACCCGGATATTTCTTTAAAAAGGGGGTGTTTTTTTTTCTTTTTTTCTCTAATCTCGTCGGACTCCTGAGAAATTATTCCGAATTTAGGGGGCTACATTGAGCATTTTTCCTGATTTAGGGGGGTCTCCAAGGCAAGAAAAGCCCGCAAAAAGCCCGCGAAAGGGGGGTTCGGAAATGTTGGCTGTCCTCAGATGGGGGGTACTTTCAAAAAGAGGGAACGAGCATATGCGTACCCTAAATAACACTGAGTGGGGGGGGGGGGCCGGGCCAATGGCATATTAGTGCCGGGCTTGGACTCGAACCATGTGATTCTCAGTCCAGTGACGTATCCACTAGACCAAAACACCTTTCTAATTATAAATATGCAAATATTACATTGAGCTTTCAATGGCTTACAGTATACAAGGAATACGTAAGCAAGAAAATCATCTCGGGCAGGGCTCCAGTTTCCAGTGGGACGTGTTCAAATACATATTTTCTGGTTGAAAGTATGGTTCTTCATCTTTAAGATTTTGTTCAACATTTTCTAGGCTATGAAACAGAAAGTAAGAAAAAGAAAAAACTTTGTCAACAATAAGATAGAAAAACGAACATCCAATATAGCATTCATTGAAATTCTGACAAACGGACGTACAAAACATAGAAAACTTATTTTTGAATGACAGCTCATTTTCTCTTTTTTCCCATCAGTTTGGTATCTTGGTACTCCTTTATATACCGTCTGTTGTGAGCCAGAAGGTATAATGTAATATATTTACAAGTTAAGGCCAAGGAAGGTATCATAGCGGACGAAATGTATGTATGTCAAACTCTTGAAAATAACACGTAAATTATTCCCAGTCGACACATTTTTTCTTCTTGAGGTGTAAACATAAGAATATTGAGAAACAGAATTGTGTAGATATTAAGATTAAGGGAGAGAATGAGAGAGATGATATAAAAAAAAGTTTCTGTAATGAAAGAAAAGAGAGTAATGTGAATTAGTAGGGAAAATAAATAGCAAACTATGAGATGTTAGGTCTTACCTCGTAATTGTCAGAGGGCCAGGTGGCTGAACTTATTGTTGGCAAGTAGCTGAAATCACTGAAAATGGGACAATAAGATAACTTTGGCTCGTCAGTACCGTCACTTTTATATTTGATTATTATTGTTAATTCTTATGTCACATTTACCCTAATGAAATGTTAAATGGGGGGGGGGGGGTGCAAATTCAAATTGTAGCAAATTTACGGTTCTATTTAAAACTAGTCTAGACAAACATTTACATAAAATGATATAAATTTCCTCTCATGTTATGCTCATGTATACTGGAATGAATAATAGAAGAAAAACCGTTAATATAAATAATTCTTTCTCTTAGTTTGAAATTTGTGTATACAAACACAATGTAGATGGTATGATTGATCACTTAACAACAAACAATAATCTTAAACAGATGATCAAACAAAAAAGAATGATACGGAGGAAAAAATCTTCTATGTTTTGTTTGTGAACACTTGATACGAAACAAAATAAAGAAATCACAAATAACAACTTTTCTTGCTCCAAGATTGTAAGTTGTGTGTGCAATGTAATTAACAAATAAATATATATGTGTAAAATAGTTAATAGTATAGCTATATTGCCGATAGTGGTGATTGATTATCAATTTGATTCTAATAAATACTCACTGGCAAGCGGTCTGGCACACACATCCCAGGCTGCCGTTTTCATACCTGTGCCCGGTTTCGTGAAGGCAGGAAGTTTCTGAATGTACAAAAAAAGTGAATAATGCTGCGATTCTCGTTATAATAATTTATGGTCCTCTCTCAAAGTTACTTAACTCATCTAAGCTAAAAATCCAAATTTACATGTAATAGCCTTACTGTGATTATGTTGGTACATCTATTATAACATGTTTTTCATAATACACGAGCGAAACGAGAGGAACCCCCCCCCCCGCCCGTACACACACCCACCTCTCCTAGTTCATGACCTTTTTATTTCAAATTTCATCCATGCATCTAGCGAGATCGGTGCTCCTTCCCCCCCTTCCTACGATACAAATGGCCCTTCAATGGCTGGTCGCATGCTACATTGCTGTGCTGTTTGGGTGCTTCCTCATAAGCGTCTTACACACAAAAAAAAACAGCAACTTGAGAGGCCTGGACTTACCTTTATCATTATCAATATCACAAGGGTAGAATGTTTCGTTATGGTAGAGTGGGCTTGGGTAAGAGGGGTCACTGCATCCACATATTCTTATCATAGCACGTTGGTAACAACTCTGCTCACATGTCTGCAATTTAACGAAATATGAAGGGGAAACAAATCATTGTAGAAATAAATAAATATCAACTAATAACAACTGGAAAATGTTGGTATCCCAGGAACTCCCAAAACTTTCAACCGTTCTGTTCAAGGAACTTGGTTTCCATGAATTTCGGGGAAGAAGTTTGTTTCGGTCTGTAAAATGCAAATCTACATAGTGACTATTTGGATTTTCCACTTTTCTTGTCTTTTAAACATGAAAGACCAAGATGCATATTACATTACTGTCTTGTATATTCGTAAATTTATTTATACATGAAGAATAAAATGATTTAAAAAATCAAGTCAAATGAAATAAAATAAAATATAATCAGTGTTTTCTAAAAAATTGATTAACACCCATTCAAAATGAAAAGGCGCCGACTTTATGTAAGATTGCGCCAACTGCATGTGAGATGGCCCCGATTTCATGTGAGGTGGCGCCCGTGTCATATGAGATAGAGCCTATTCCAGGCGACATGAGGACTATTTTATGTGAGCCTTGGCCCCGATTTAAGGCGAGATGACGCCGATTTGCATAAAATTGCGCCAATTGTGAGGAGAATATTACGTCCATAAATAATTTATAAACAGTCCAGCGGCGCCTTCGATGCCTGTGGAAAAGACATGTAAAGGGGGGGGGGGGTGCGCCCCTACGCACCCCTCGGATCCGCTTGTCTAATCTGTACCTGTATACTGTAGCTCATGTTGTAGTTTTGGTAGTAGATATTATCTTCAATATTTTCTTTGGTATCCTCCTTGCATAATCCGTATGGTTCGGGTAACCTCTCGATCTCAACCTGAAATCGACAAAAATAAATAAATTACATTTGAGGGTATTTGTGTGATCAGGAGCGACAATTCTTTTACACGCAACGCTTTATCTATTCTATATTCATACCTGCACTGAACACTCAATTTACCATCATAGTTTAGTTGGGCAGGTGAACACTTTTAAACTATCCAACTCTAATGCTCGATGCAAAGGAGCGTCATTCTGCTGACATAATATCTCGTCATTCTGCTGGTGTTGTTGTTTGGTATTATCGGCGTTTCATTTTTTGGAGAATATTTACGCCTTTTAATTTTTTCTTTCTTTCTTTCGTGGTTATAGGTGTTCAATTTGGGAGGTAAATTGTAACTAATAAAGTAATATAAATGTATAAATGTACATTTCAGACCCTGCTTTGAAGTACTGGTGTACGTGCAGGTTTTCTTTACATGCTTGATTAGTATAGGTAATCACACGTGACGGCTCGTGTACAACGGGCAACATAAATACTATCTAATTAATGCTTATAATGGCCATTTTATGTCTTTCTTTCTTTTTACTTCGTTTGTTATTTGTAAGTTTTGCTCAGTACTGCATTGTACTTGCATTGATTATGTAGGGGTTCTGCCTCGAAATGCCAATGACCTTTGCGGTACCCCTCCACATTTTCGTTTTATCTTATATCTTTTTCGAGTATGCTGTACACTGTAATGTGACTGTTTTGTTAAATACTTAATTGCATTTATAAGTCATTTTTGTTAATATTATGCTTTTATTGTGATACCTGTTTCATGGAATATGGAAAATAAAATTGAAACTTGAAAAAGATCATCCTGGCTATACGCATGCGCGTTGACAGATTGATAACATACTTATCACACGGACTCCAATGGCAGTTACCAAGCCAGGAGATACAAAGATACCATCATCTGAAGGGAAAGGCATGTTAGATGGATGGTGGATGATCACATACTTACCACACGGACTCCAATGGCAGTGACCAAGCCAGGAGACACAAAGATACCATCATCTGAAGGGAAAGGCATGTTAGATGGATGGTGGATGATGACATACTTACCACACGGACTCCAATGGCAGTGACCAAGCCAGGAGACACAAAGATACCATCATCGGAAGGGAAAGGCATGTTAGATGGATGGTGGATGATCACATACTTACCACACGGACTCCAATGGCAGTGACCTAGCCAGGAGACACAAAGATACCATCATCTGAAGGGAAAGGCATGTTAGATGGATGGTGGATGATCACATACTTACCACACGGACTCCAATGGCAGTGACCAAGCCAGGAGACACAAAGATACCATCATCGGAAGGGAAAGGCATGTTAGATGGATGGTGGATGATCACATACTTACCACACGGACTCCAATGGCAGTGACCAAGCCAGGAGACACAAAGATACCATCATCGGAAGGGAAAGGCATGTTAGATGGATGGTGGATGATCACATACTTACCACACGGACTCCAATGGCAGTGACCAAGCCAGGAGACACAAAGATACCATCATCGGAAGGGAATGGCATGTTAGATGGATAATGGATGATCACACGGAACCATTGATTACATACTTACCACACGGACTCCAATGGCAGTGACCATACCAGGAGACACAAATATACCATCATCTGAAGGGAAAGGCATGTTAGATGGATGATGGATGATCACTCGGAATCCAGCCACCTCGGTCTGGTCTTCCATGTATTCGTCTTGTTGGACAAAGAGCTCCATGGAAAGACCTGATAAGGAGAGATATTCTTTAATTAGTTAATCAATCAATAATAGATATTTATTGAGAATATTCACATTACTCAAGTATTATATAATCTTCTGATTGGGCAAGCAGCTGCGGGGAAAGACCTGATGACTAGAGATATTCTTTAATTAGTTAATCAATCAATTATAGATATTTCTTGAGAATATTCACATTGGGCAAGCTTTGTTATATGCCATGAATGTATTCGTCTTGTTTTACAAAGAGCTGCAGGGACAGATCTGGAAAAAGAAAGACGAACCATGAATCTTCGTATTAATCAATATTCTGTTTGCTAGTCATTAGGCCAATGTATCTTGAGTTCCAAACACTTATATCTCTTCCAAAATCGCTATATTACGATGAAAGTTACAGACCTTTAATCTAGTTTACGTATGTGCAAGACAAAGTTCTTTGTAAAATCGCGATGTCTGGACCATCAATGTAATATAATGGATATATTCTACATTTTCAAAGGTTTCAATTAAATTTACATAGCCGTCCTCCGATATGAACATCCAATGATTGAGCTAAGATTTATATTCCTGTTTAAAGGAAGAATACGTTTCTTTGCACAGGTAGGCAACTCTCCCTAATTCAGATTTAGAAATCTGATAGAGAGTTTTCGTATTGGCACATTCAATGAATCATAATATCTTCGATTTTCTCCCAACCTTATCAGTGATCTTTGATACCATGGTCAATTGTGACCTCGCAATCGATAATCATTATAAGTAAGAAATATTTAATATGTTTTTAGTATATTTGACATTGCAGACGGTATGCAGACAATAAAGCGTAACATCATAACCATAGCCACTGTATAATGCCTAGGTCACATTTGCCGCGGCGGTTGTGGGGTCAAAAATATCTACGGCCAATAGCAATTATAGGGCTGCCGAAGCATTCACACGGTCACATACGGTAGCAGTCACATTATGTTAGGGTAGCCACACGGCGTATTTTGAATTTGTAGCGAAAGAAAATCTACCTTTTTTCGACAAATACCAGGGCAGACGCAAGGTAGCCGCAATGTCACCGTACGACCAAAGAATGGTCGCCGTGGAACCGCTCTACCGCATGGCTATGGCGTGTCAATCGCTACAGCGAACCTAGAAATGAAAAAGTTATAACTCCGCGTTATAATCCCACGGCGACCCGGACAGCTTGTAAAGATAGGGATGCGCCCTAGGGTGACCCTGAGACCACCGCAGATCCTCTGCGGTCGCCGCGAGTATCTCTCGATTGGGGGCCTGTGGCCGCCGTATCCTAGCCGTAGAGTAAATGTGACCTAGGCATAAGTCATATCTAACATACCGTAGTTAGGACCTGGTCTATTGGTGGTCAATGTGTCCCCGTCTAGTCCGGAATTGAAAATGTAACAGTTTCCGAACTGAGGATCAAATATGTTGGTGAAATTCCTATAGGGGACGAGAAAGTTATTAATCATAATGAATACAAATCTCTCTAATCACTACATTCACATTCATCAACTTGATTTATCAGCAAGGTTGGCATCCAGTGGTACTGCTAAAAGGGACCGAGGATCTTTGCTTAACCTTGTCGGCAAATAGTAAACAAACGATATAAGAAAACAAATTACAAAAAACGAATAAACAATAAGGGGTGTATTGCAATCGATCTCTCTCTGCTTATATAGAACACTCGAATGCTGTTATTTTGGATTTATTTATTGGGGTTGCTCTTTAAAATATTCACAAATCAAAGATCAACCGTTGTCCTTCTCACCAATAATGACTTATGCAAACTGGTTTTACGACAGGTTTGTGAAAGCCAATTATTAAAGTAAGAAGTATGTTAATCATTAGCATTGTTACTACTATTGTGTAAATATCCCTGTTAGCATGAACATCCTCTTACGCCGGGGAACACGGGAAACCTCTCCAGGAGCAATCCAGCAGCATGTCATCCAGAGAATGGCCCAATGATTTCCGCTCCTCTATCGTCTTATTGGCCAGTTTGACCATCAGACGCTGTTGTTTGAGGTAGTCATTAGACTGCTTACGAAAGAAGTCGCCCTTTTGACGGTCTTGCCAAGTTTCGACAGCCTAAAGAGTAATGAATACAAAAGCGATGAATTTTAGCACGAACAAGATCTCGAATGAGACAAAGCAACATCTTTTATAATCTGCAAAGCACTAGCTACCTGGAAAAAGAAATTTAAATTACATCTGAGGGGAGGGGGGGGGGGTAGTATTTAGTTAGTTAGTATTTATTGTTACAGTCCTGTTCAGCCGAATATTGGATTGACCTGAAAATGAGTTTGTGTGAAAGTATACCATTCTTCTTGATATTTGGACCTCTGCCTTGTGCAGCTGAGTCTGAAATAAAGTGCAATTGAATTGAATTGTATGCTCGATGCTATAAATTGCATAAACAGCCTCTCTTAAACTTGCTGAGAGTTTTGCTAAGTTTGGTCCCGAAAAAACCGAACAAATTGGGATAGCTCGGTATATCTCATTTTAACTTGTAATTTCAAACGAGCAGTTTGAATGCGACTAAAATAAAATATATTGCTGAGCTCCCTTTTACTTCAGTTTTACCTTCAAACCTATTTCAAAGCCGACCGATTCTCGGCTAGGTCGTGTAATGTAAGTTTTTGCTCGGTCCGTTATCGGTCTTGTCGGTCTTGTCGGTGTGATTGAGGTATTAGCTCGGGAGCATCCAAAGCTCGGTCGGCCTCGGAAAAGATCGGAACGGAACCCGACATAGTGTGAGAGGGTCAGGGGCAGATACAGGGAGGGGGAGCATAGGGTTCGGACCCCTTTTTTGCTTGTCATAGATTTTTGTGTTGGACCCCTATTTGCCGACATTTCCCCCTTTTTGTACAAATCCATGGAGCCGCCCCTGAGGTTTCTGACACCATACCTCTGTTGTATTTCCCGTAGATTCGGTGGTTGACCCGACGCCTGGTGCCGTGAACATAGAGCTAGTAGACGTATCTGAAGAGGCAGAGGAAGTAGCAAGTGTTGTTGCAGAGGCATCAGACTGACCCTGACTAGAGAGTGGCCCACTGGGACCATTAGGTGGCTCAACGGAACCCGCAACTTCGACATTTCCGTCTGTAGCACGCCGTCCTATAGGGAAACGACGCACACACAAACTAAATATATTCAAACAAATCGGAAGGTCCTGGTTAAGGGTGACGACGTTTCTACATCTTCTTCATCTGGCACTTTGAATACACCTGGGGGCGTTTCATGAAACACTTAGTCGATGGTTTTCACCGACTAATATCATTTTCACCGACAATTCTATTGTCACTGACTATTTTCCAGGCCTCTGATTGGTCAAATTTAGGCAGTGGTGACCAAATTGTCGGTGAAATGATATTAGTCGGTGAAAACCACCGACTAATTGTTTCATGAAACGCCCCCCTGTAGTGACATTTTGCCAGAACTTATGCATTCTTTTGCACATGCGTAGCCTACGTGTTGTTGCAGGTGTCGGAACAGTGTAAGGTATTTGAACATGGGGATGACGGAACATAGGAATGCTGGAACATAGGGGTGCCATAAGAACATAAGGGTGTCGGGGCATTAGGTTGCCGCGGGTTGTCGGGACATAGAAGGGCCTGAATATTGGTGTTGGAACATATAGGGATGTCAAAACATAGGGGTTATGGAACATGGGAGTGTCGATTAATGGGGGTGACATAAAACTGAAATATTAAGGGATTAAGGTGATACCTTGGTGTATCGGGGTAAAGAAACCTAAATAGGTCTTTGGTATCTAATTATTTTTGCTTAAATTCGATGCACATTTGGGGTAATTGGAGTATTATAATGTCTTTAAAACACTTTCTTCAACTATGACGAATCTTTATGAAACGTATTTGAGCCCCGTATGCTTCTCTTACCACCAGCCGTGGATGATCCTGGTCGTTGAGTAGTCTTTGCATTATTCGCTTCAACACCACCACCACTATTACCCCCAGACCCCATGAAACTCCCCACCCCACTAGAGAAAACTCCTCCAACTTGACCGACTCCCTGGACTACCTGGTCAACCATATCCATGGGACCAGGTGGCTGGAAGTTGGTGTCGAAGAGCTCCCTGAAAGAGTCATCCGCCTTCTCGAGTTTAGATTTCATCACTGGGTTCATGTTGCAAATGGTGATGGCAGGAAACTCTTGGGAGCGGTTGAACTTGATCTAAAACAAATGATAATAACAATGATGATGGTATTGATGATACTGATGATGGTAAGGATGATAAAGAAGACGAAGGCGACGACGGTGATGATAATGATAACGATATCGATATGGTGATGATGATAATAATTATAATATAATGATTATCCTATTGCGCACTTGTCCAATTCTAAGTTTTTTAAGAAGGCTATTATTTGCAATGAAACCATGGACTAACGTCGAATATGATTATTAACCCTAATAAGGCCGGGGGGGGGGGGCCATTATGCCCCCCCCCTCCACGATTTTTCTGATTGTTCGAGAACGCATATGGATGGCGCCTCGCCGCTCGCTGACTTTTTTCTTAAGAGTCTTGCGCATCTTAAAAAAAAAAAAAAAAAAAAAAAATCGGACCTATACTTACAAGGTCACGTGACCTTTTGTCTTTGCATGTCAGCCCGAAAATCGCTCATTTTTGTGATTTGTGTACAAAACATATGGGAATGTCATTTTTCCTAAAAATAGATCAAACATTGGTTATTGGGTCTTGCTTAAAGTTTAAGTGGTTGTTTTGGGAGTCAAAATAGTTGAATTGTAGGAAGAAATAAAAAAAAAAAAAAAACAATAACATAAATAAGTTAAAAAAACAATGAAATACATAATAAGTTATCAAAACAAGAGATAACATAAGGAATAAGCTGGCTCTTCCAATTTTTTTGTCGTATTATTGTTCCAAATGGTCTAATGAATATATGTAGTGAAAAAAAATGCTTAAATATGAATAATATATGATTTATGGGTAAAAATGTGATTTATGACGTTATTTGCATAAATTACCATAAATATGCAAATGAGTGATTTTTTTCAAAAAATTGAAATTATCATATTGTTCTGTACACTTCACTTGACATGCGTGCAAATTTTCGCGGAGATCGGCCCTTTCACGGCCGAGATCTTAGGGGGGGGGGGGCCATAATGCCCCCCCGGCCGTAGTAAGACTTCAAATAGCCCGGCCTTATTAGGGTTAAACAACAAAAAAATTGACCCACCACAGAAATTTACTCCATACATGTAAAAGAAAAACGGCCTTGCCGCATGAGGTTATCAATTTACTCTTTTGAAATAATCATTCACAAACAAACAATACTTAAGTCGCACCGACAAGACCGACAGCAGACCGAGCCAAATATTACATTACGTCTATGGCTAAGAATTGGTCGGTTTGAAGTCGGTCTGAAGTCGGTCTGAAGTCGGTCTGAAGTCAGTCTGAAGTCGGTTCAGGTATACAAAAGGAAACGTATTGCGAAAATGCATTTCGAATAGGTTTTTACATTTTAATCAATACTAATGACTTCTTCAATTTTTTAAGAACAAGCAGTTCCGAGATTGCACTTACCTCCAGACTAACCGTGTATTCATAAGCGAAGTAGGTCTTAAAGAGAGCGATGACTTGCCATATGATCACACCAATACCGGTAAGAAAGAGGAGCAACCAGAACAGCTTAGTGATGGGTTTCGATGAACGATGGATGTTGGGTAAACCATGAGCAGATGAGGTCTCCATGCGACTGTGGAGGATCTTTAAAAAACTTTCCTCTTCTTTTTCAGCGTTCGCCTTCCAGGCCTCCATGTTTGTTGAGTCAATATAGATCTCTCGCGGATGTTCGTGGAATGATGAGTTGAGACGATTGATGAATGATCATTCAAGTAACTCGTTTTTATTGATTAATCTGTGGGAATAAATAGAAAAAACATGAAGTTTGGATCACAAACTAATATAAATAAGTTTAAGTTTACGACAATTTCCCCTTGGGTCTATAATGAAAAGGCAGGCTAAAACGTAATCAATAACTGCTATAAAATAGTTGTCATGGAATATCTGATTTAGCATATCATTTAATTAGGCTACAAAATGATTTTGAAGAGAATTCCCTGAATTAAACTATATTTTTTGAAAAAGAAACAATTCTGGATAGTTCCTATCGACTTCTAAATCTATTTAAGCATAACCTTCCTTAGAATGAAACATTTCTTAAACACATTCCATGCTGAATGGTGTACATCGATATAAAGAAAAAAAATCCACCTTTTGTAGTTCTTTGCTTTTCAATTAGGGCTTTGAAAAGTGACCTAATCGAACTATCTATCAGATTGAAGTCTTTGATTTCCTCCTCTATGCTAGCATAGGTGGGTGGGTCGATTCTACAACAGGAAGGATGTGACACAAAGTTACGCGGTCCTTTTGAAATTGGTTAAAACTATTCTTTATTATTTTGACAGTTAAAAAGAGACTAATTTATTTATTCATTTATTTATTTATTTATTTATTTGTTATTTATTTATTTATTTATTTATTTATTCAAGTTTTATTTAAATAGAGGGTAGGTACATTCAGTTTAACAAAACTGCTTTCCAAGTACGCCCTCTAGAACGACATAACAAGTATAAGATATACAAAAATACAAGGAATATATAAAAAAAAAATGTAACATTCATCAAAACTAAACATTGACATATTTGACATAATATAGAGTACAAACATATATAACATAAGACAAATAATTATACCGGTAGAGGGAAATAAGAACGGAGATTCGACTATAATAAATGCTTTGCCAATTGGCATCCGCGCTTAAATATTTGAATAGATTTGGTTGATAGAATTGAGGGAGGAAGTTTATTAAATAGGGTACTTGCTTTATATGAGAATGATCTTTTCTTGAATTTGGTTTTGGGGTATGGGATGTCAAGTAGAGCATTTAAGGAAAAGCGGGTATAGTAGTTGGAGGTGCGATAATTTATAAGTGATTTTAAATAAGTTGGGGCCATGACATTTATAATTTTAAAAGCTAATAAACAGTAGTGATATTTTAATCTTTGTTCGACCGATTGCCAATTTAAAGTCGTAAGAAGCGTGCACTGTGGTGTGTCGTAATCTTTATTTAAAATCAATCTCCCAAATCTATTTTGTAACTTTTGCAGTTTCGATAAATTTGTCTTTAAGCAGTTTCCCCTAGCAGTACAACAATAGTCGATATGTGGTAGAATTAATGCAAAATAAAGATTTACAAGAGTTTTATGGGGTATTAGGCGTTTTATACGACGAGCGCATCCAATAGAACGAGATATCTTAGTACTTATATATTTTATATGTTCAGACCACGTAAGTCGTGAATCAAGTATAACTCCTAGGTATTTCATTGTTTCGACACACTGTAAATTTTTACCATTTAATTTAATTGAGAGACGATTGTTCTCCAACTTTCTTTTTGATCCAAAGGACATCACCATAGTTTTCTGAGGGTGTATATACATCTTATTTATATCAAACCACTTACATATTAAATCAAAGTCATTCTGTAAATTTTCTTGAACTTCAGAAAAAACATTAGAATTTTTAAAAATGACAGTATCGTCAGCATAAAGTGATATTTTGGAATTATTATGAAATTTTAAATTATTGATATCATTAATGTACAAACAAAAAATCAAGGGGCCCAGAATTGACCCTTGTGGCACCCCGGATTTAGCAGTTAAATACTCGCTACAATGATTATCTATCTATAGTAACACAATGTTGTCTACCAATTAAGTAAGATTTAAACCATTCATACACCTTGTTACTCATGCCATACAAAATTAGTTTATCAAGTATTATTTTATGTGGAATAACGTCAAACGCTTTCCTTAGATCGTAATATATTGTTCCAGTAATCTGACCTGAGTTCATATTATCAAGAAGGTAATCAGTAATTTCTGTGAGACATGTGGTTGTGGAATGAATCGGTCTAAATCCAGACTGACGTTCTGATAATAGATTATTTTGGTTAAGGTAAGAATACAATTGTTTATGTACGGCTTTCTCTAGAATTTTCGACAAAGAGGGCAGTATTGAAATGGGCCTGAAATTATCCACACTAAACGTTCCTCCTTTGTGTATCGGAGTGATTTTTGCAATCTTGAAATCAAATGGAAATCGTGAAGTTTTTAATGATTGGTTAAATAATATAGTCAGTGGTTTTGCAATGATATCTGCAGATAATTTGAGTAACTTGGGATGTAGACCATCCATTCATATAGCCTTTTTACAATCAATATTGCGTAGTTCATTTCTAACAAATTCTGATTTGATTTCTTGAAATTCGAAAGAAAAATTGGTTTGAGATAACGTTTGTAAAGAATTGAAATTATCATCTACAATGGTAGAACATGTACGAGTTTGTAGATTTGAACTCACATTGTTAAAAGTTTCATTCAATAAACTTGCCACCTTTACTTTGTCAGTTATTATTTCATCATCAATTAAGATTGTGTTGCTTACCTCCTTTTGCCTTGAAGGCAAGAGTTTTTTCAAAACCTTCCAATTTTTGCTCGAATCATTTCCGCATTCTGAGAACTCATTTTTGTAATACGCTCTTTCAAGATTTTTGTTTAGGTTATTTGCTTTGTTTCTATAAAACTTGAACTTTTCCCAGCAACAATCACACTTTGTCTTGTTATACCTTTTCTTATAGTAATCACGGTCACGTGCCAAAGTAATATATTAATCTGTAATCCAAGGCACCCCATTACGTTTTCTTCTGACAGAAATAAAAGGTGCATGTTTATCACTTAAAGGTAAAGACCAGTAATGGTCATGCGATTGCATTGTGAAAGAAATGTTGTGGAATCGATCAGAAAAGGTTGATCATCTGGCATCTAGCATCTGCAAGGTTCTGGAATCATCAAAATGATAAGAAATTTGGCCCATTCTTCGTAAAGTTACAAGCACTATACACAGAAAGATGTATATGGGACTACCCTATATCTCTCACAGACCACGAGAGAAACAAATTTACCAAATATATGAATTAGTAGGCGGTTTCCCGGCAAATTTTGTATCATCATGTATTAGTCAAAACATATTCTTTCACATGATTGGTAATGAGAGCTTCCATTTCATTTTTTGAAATTGGGGCGTTTCCAATACTGGTCTTTACCTTTAATATTGTGAACACAGATTTTATATTAGACCACATTTGATCAACTTCAACATTTTCTTCATTAAACTCAGCCCAATTTTGATTTCTCAAGTCCTCTTGAAATTCACTTTCGTTAAAGTTCCGAAAAGATCTAAATTTACATATTTTCTAATGAAGCATGGGATTTTTGCCTTTTACGACTAAAAATATTAAACACTGGTCACTAAAACCAATGGGCATTACACCGGACCTCAAGTTAGCAATAGAATTCGAGGTAAGTAGTAAATCAATGAGTGTACTACTATGAGGTGTAACTCGTGTAGGCCCATCGATTAACTGATTAAGCTGACAAATACGACAAATATCCTTAACATTTTTAGACAATGTATTATCATTTCTCATATTACAGTTGAAATCACCCAGCAAAACAATATTATTTGACAATGACATTACTTTCTCAATATTCCCTTCAAGGAGGGTAAAAAATGTACCTGGGCAGGAAGGTTTCCTGTATAAAATACTAACACAAATATAACTACTACTTGTTCTTTTGATTTCTAGCCACGTGAGCTCAAGCTCCTTTGTTTCAAGATCTGTTCTTCTTAAGTAATTACATTTCTTGTTAATGTAACATCCTACACCACCACCGCCAGTGGCATCCCTGTCATTTCTTTCAATTTTGTAACCAACGATAGAAATCATATGATTTGAAAAATCCTCATTCAACCATGTTTCGGATAGTCCTAAAATGTCGAAGGGGTTTGACATAAGAAACTGTTTTACATCGGTAACTTTATTTCTTAAACTTCTGATGTTAAGGTATGCTAATTTAATGCCCTTTTCCTTTGGAAAATCACAAAGTATATTGTATCTATTATCTTCATTCGAAGTAGAATCTTGTATAATATTCGCAAGATGAGAATATCCAAGATAAGTTTCTACGGGAAAGATATCTTATTGTTCCCAAAAGGGAAAATGTTTCAGATTACATACAGTACATTGCCAATTTTCAAAAGATTCATTCGTATCATCGTATTTGCATTTAGGAATTCCTTCACATAATATATGTGCCCATTTTGTACACGAAGTACATAAAAGGGCCTTTTGGTTTTTCCTTACTGCTTTATTACATTTACTGCATGGATATTTAACCATAAAAAAGAGTCGGTACAAATTTATTCATAATATTGATTGAAAAAGAAAAAAAGATATCAAAGTGTTCTCAAGTCTTCAAAGTCTCTGATTCCCTTAGTCACTGTCTTCCGACCGGTGGCAGGAAGGAGTGCAACGACATGTCCATCCGATGTCCATGTTTTGAGAACTCTGCTATGATTCCTCGTTTCATAAAGCAAACGCTGGTTGTGTTTGGTGAGGTCTTCATGGATCGATATACCAGTGTCTTTCATCTTGCGTCGTTGTACTAACACCGATTTCCTAGCTTGGTACGACACAAACTTGACAATTATTGGACGGGATCGCTTTTTGCGCATTTTCTTGTCGTTGTCATGACTACTGGATTTCGCGTTCCCGGTAGCGTTATTTTTTTATGCGGCACAGATAGGGGCTTTTTTTAAAAGGGGTCTTGATTTACAGACTAATACTGGTCGTGTGCGTATACTAGACAGTATAAGTAGTAGAGGTCTGTTTTTAATAGTGTTACATGTAATCCACTACCGCATGGAAAATCATTACATCAACAATTAAAATCAAATTGGAAATCTGAAGAGGAGGCAGCACGTCAATAAGGAGAACATCACAATAATTAGTCAATAAAACTTAAACAAAGAGGAATGTTATCTAAACACATAGTTCGCGATGGATATACAAACTTCTTCGCAGCGCTAATGCGCTAGCGAACATGACTAGTCTCACGTACGTGCAGACACTATTCAGAAGGGAAAGAACGTACTTCCCATAGGTTTAACACGCGCCATGCCCCAATCTGTGCCGCATAAAAAAATAACGCTTCCCGGTATCGTGGAAGGTTTCTTGGTCACGGACCGATGCTTGGTCTTTGATTGGGGCTCCTACTCGGTGAGATCTGTCAATTGCGCTTGGATGAAGCTGAATTCCAAGCTTTTCCAGGATCCAGGAAAATGATCGTCAGAAATATTCGAAGATACAGGTATTCAAAATGTAACAGCACAGTACAAAATCAAAAATGAATCCTCAATAGTGCATTTAACTGGCAAATATAAAATCAAAAGACAGAGCTCCGTCAAGACACGTCCGCTCAGTTGCTCAGTCTGATCTCTTGCTTCGGGGTTTTCTGTCCGACCGTAAAGATGTATTCCTATTTTGTATACACTATTATATGGAGATTCGTTCATAAGAATAAGTTAAGGAACAATAATTTCGGTTTATCAGTATATTACTAAACTAAATTCAGAAAATGGAAGGAAGCAACGACAACAACAAAACAAAAATCCGGAAAGCATGTAGGGTTGTGTCGGAACGACCATTACAAATAAAGACAACTATTCCCCCGTAACATCATTACATCAAGTTGTTTCTGGTTGTAGGAGAGACAATTCAGTAGATGATGAAAAACTGAGATGAGAGTTAGGCATTGGAGGAAAAGTTCATTTGAAGTACAATATTAAATATATTACGTCTAATTATTGTTTCGAGCCTTCTATACTATATTAAATGTGTCGCCATAAAACGAGATTTGTTTTGATGACGGATGAATCATAGAAATCAACAGTTAACATGTACAAAACTTCTCAAAAGTGCAAGCAAAAACTTTCATTAATCTTGTTTTATGTATGATTAAAACTTGAAGAAATAAAAATACTCACATTTTCCTTTCGACTTTTTAAAACAGGGAATGATAAACACCACGAGCAAGAGAACTACTAAATCTACTCACCAAAACCGTTTGTACAGACCAATTTAAACTTCCATTTATTGCGAATGAGCAAACAATGAAGATATTGGGATGCTATTGGTGATGACAATCCGATCGTAGAAAGAAATAATATCTTTCCCAATTTCGATGAATCAGCTCAGCGATATAAAACGAAATGGCGCAGGAAACTCGGCGGTCAAAATCAGAGAAAATCTTACGAATATCTTATATCGCCATGACAATATGAAATCAAACAATATTAATTGAACTTGTGTCCAGTATAGCGTGAGTTGTCCACTACCATCTTCAGTAAGTGATCAAAAAATAATTACCAACTGATCAAACATAATCGCATTTGAGCAAGCTCTTACGCTCCGCTTGTGACGCACGGCCGAGTCACGCTCCAGGCACACTCTAATGAGACTGATACCGGACCCAACCAAATATTACATTGCTCCACATGGCTAAGCGACTATCGGTTTGGTGTCTGTGGGGAGTCTGTGAGACCGACTGGGTCGAGCTATCACTGTCCCTCCCGTACGCGTCTGGTTGCCAATGGTAACTTACTGTCTAATGACATTGATCGATGTATGTATAGACATTGTTTTACCACCATCGTATCGCAAAATTATTCATATTATATATGGCATTATCACTCAAAATGTACTCACTCACAACTAATTTAATTAGGTGAATTGGAAGCGGCTTTTCCTATTCTTTTCTTTTTATTGGGGGGGGGGGGTATTATGCGCGTACATAATTATGCATCGTAATCCTGATTTTCTATAGCATGGGTTTTGTCTACGTCCTGCAACTGACTACTTTCAAAATTTGTCCGTATTCTAGAATCGAAATGTAAATCAATCAGTCCGTATGAGATTATACCTCCCGTGCAGTAGGGGGGGGGGGGGGGGGGGGGGCTCATAGGGATGTGCACTTAATGTATGCCACATTGGGAGAATCCAAAGGGGAGTACAGAGACAGGTTGTGTCCCTACATAAAAACAATTCACGAACTTTTAGTGGTACAATATAATTTTTTGTTTGCCTGTTTAATTTGCAGCCACTATAAACACGTTTTCGGGAGATGAGAGTCTGGATTTGGATATAATTAGTTTAAACTATTGCTGACTTAAAAAAAACACTGAGATATACATCAATAAAATATCAAAATGAAATAACAAACAATATTTTAATAGTCAATAAACGATAATGAAAACATTCCATCCCCCCTCTTTCACAGGGTTCTTTCTTTACAAAACAAAGATATCCACAAAAAATATACTAATAATCAAATAAATCAAATACATATGTAATGGCTAAAACAATGAACTTTCATATTACTGAAATTCGAACATATTTCTGTATTAGAACAAGGCAACAGGTTTATTGAAGCCCACTCCCGTCACAAAATTTCTGCTTTAATTTGTGAACAGGTAATAAAGGGTTAAATCGATGCTGATTACAGGGAAGATTAAGTATAAATTCTATATAATTGAGGTCCGTATGCAAACACAACAGATTGGTCCGTCAATATGATTAATATATAAGGTCACCCGAAACGGCCCCAAAACCTGTCACTTTAGAACTAATGCATGTTAAACCGTGAATGAATGAACATTTCAAATAAAAACTAATAATAATGCAAATATAAACACTAAATTTAGAAATCTTTGCCTTTCATACAGTATTATGTGTCAACAGAGGGGAAGAACAATTATGGACCAGCCATCACATCTCATTGCATTCTAACTATAAAGGAAACACACGATGATTTGATTTGAATGGCCCATTCAAGGCTCTATAACTCATCAAGTCCATTAACAATTTAGTTATGCTTTGTTACATTATTGATAATACCTGCCACTTAATGCTCCTAAATGTCAAGGTTGAAATGACGAACAGTTTTAATTACAAACCTCGGAATTATAAATGTCAGGTTTCAAAACGCTTTAGGCTTGCCTGTCCTGCTCTTGTATACGTCTTTGTGGAGGTGTCGTGGTATAGTGGTTCATTTACTTGACTCGCAATCCAAGGGTTCAGAGTTCGAATCCCAGCCCGGTACTTAGGTCCTTTGGCAAGATATTAATCCACATTTGCAACTTTCTATCGAGATGTGATAGTATACTTGGTAATAGTTGTGATAAATATGATTGCAAGACCCTCAAAAAGAACAGTATTGATGCTGATGAGGGTTCCCTGGTAAACTTAATGGTTATGTTATTATTATTATCATCATTTTTGTTATCATTTTCATGTTTTTTTTTATTGCGTGATAACTTAAAGACTGGGACTTTGATAGATATTGAACTTTCATCTAATTTAATCCATGTTAGATACATAATTTGTTTAGTAACACAATTTCATATATAGCCCCCCCCCTCCATCACCACAATTAGAGATGTAAATGAATGCATTTTTTTGTTTTGTGATCTTTATTCACAATCTTTAATTGTATAGTGCAATCGATATAATTACTAACTTAAACTTACAGAGCATGTCTCCAAAGGTACCCCTGTGCCCCCCTCAACCCTACACCCCTGGTTTGCGTTATGTTGAGTAAATATCATTATCTTATTTAATCATATAATCTAATTTAAAATAAGAATGATACTCTTTAATTGTGCTTTAATTAAGGTAGTCTGTCCCTTCTGCAGGCTGAAAACTTACAATTGTGTAAATCCTATCGTATTAGAACTAGTGGTAATTGCCTCTATATGTGGAATTAAATCGACCGAGACTGATGTGTAGAAATCATAATTTGATTTGATTTGGTTTATTTGGTTTATTTGATTTATTTATTTCTGTTTGATTTTCTTTTTCTTTTGCATTTTTACAAATATATAACAAACAAAACATTGCAATTTTTACACATTTCAAAAGAATATAATGTCGAATAATGTAACTATTCGAAAACATCGAACCGGAGGGTTGAAAAAGTAAGCAAAGCTTGATAGCATGACTACCCTCAATGGATACATAATAATACGAATATGGTGGAACAAATATTGGTAAAAGGGGAAGAGAGAGAGAGAGAGAGAGAGAGAGAAAGAGAGAGAGAGAGAGAGAGAGAGAGAGAGAGAGAGGGGGGGGGGGAGGAGAAAAAAGAAAGAGGGGGTTTACATCAAGATACACAGATGTATGTGGTACAATGTAGTTGGATTTCAATTTGATATATGAAGATAAAAAAAGAAGATGCACATTTGAATATTGACTGGCCAACTTGGGATATATATTATAGAATGAGAAGACTCATGAGGTTTCTGGACAATATGAATAGAAATGTGAGACCAGCGAGCTGGTTTATATGGACTGCAGGCGCGGATCCAGGATTTCTTAGGGGGAGGGGGCCCAACATTCTTCATTTTTGTTTGCTCCCGAAAATTTGAAAATCGCGCCGGCCGAAAAGTCGCTCAGTGGGGGGGGGGGGGGGGGGGGGGGGGGGGGGGGGGGGGGGGGGTTGTGAGCACAATTTTTTTTTTTTTTTTTTTTTGCTCCCGGAAATTTGCAAATCGCGCCGGCCGAAAAGTCGCTCAGTAGGGGGGGGGGGGGGGGGGGGGGGGGGGGGGGGGGGTAGTGAGCACTTTTTTTTTTTTTTTGTCCTCGAAAAAATTTCAATTTGCACCCCGCCCCCTTGAGCGCCAGGGGGGGGGGGGCCCAACCCCCAAAAAAGGTAAAAATCACGTGATTTTACATGATTTTTTTCTCAAGGGGGGGGGGGGGCCCGGGCCCCCGGGCCCCTCCCCCCTGGATCCGCCACTGATGGACTGTACACCTTTGTTTGTATACAAAATAGGTTTTGGGAGTATCCCAAGTAGGCCACTCTTTATTCATAGGTGTATTCATTCCAGGTCATGTAAGGTTATAATCAACGTTTCAATGAATGGAAGCAAAAAGTAAGAGTACTGAAAAATATCGGGTTATTAACAAATTTAAAAAAGTCAGTCACTCACTCAACAGTGTCTGACAGTGATGTCTAGAGAGAAAACGGTTTCTCTTCTAACCGTTAAAGGTATTAGGTAACTTTGCCTCTGATTCTAAACAAAATCCTGGATTTAGCTCATACTGCAATCATAATTATAAACCTTTAGGTCAGAAATGAATCCCATGACTTTTACAAGCAAATCGCATGTTTGATTATCAAGATATTTATGATTGGAATTCGAAATTTCAGAAATTATTTTCCCAACGGTTTTGAACAGCTTTTATGTTCTTACGGTCTATTGTGGAAAATGAATATGAAAAAACCGGTCATTCAAAGATTGTTTACATTTGTGAAGCACTTCATGATAATTTTGAAGCGCAATTTTGTTTAAAGCTTTAATATTACACCGTATCACAGACACTGATAACACGTAGGGCCATGCATCTTAGATTTGTAAAATTGGAAACGTTGTCAAACAATTCCTTTAAAGCCCCTGAAAGTGTTGGGAGCCCCAAATTCGCTAAAATTTGATCGCAAAAATTTTAATTAATTTGTAATTTAATTACCTTCTCAAATAAAAACGAGTAATAATGTAATTATGAACACTATATTTTGAAGTTTCAAGTTTCAATTTTATTTATTTCACTTTATCGAATATAACATAATTAAACATAATGAACATGGTAATACTTATAACTAAACATACAATAAAGAAAACATAATGTACACGGTAATAGTTATAACAGAGGATACAATCATAAGTATGATAAATACATTGAAAAAGCTAAATAAAGTGGGGGATCTACTAAAAAGCAAAGCTTGTATTATGTAGGTCCCAGGGTATCTGAATAAACATCTTTGCCTTTCATACAGATTATGTGTCTACAGAGGGAACAAAAAATATGAACCGACCATCACATCTCATTGCATTTTAAATGTTAAAAAAAAGGACATACGTGACATACTCGTGATTCCTGCAAAGTTTTACAAAATTCGATGTTGGCTGCAAACGGGATTCACTAAAGCCAAATGTTGTGTGCTTGACGCCACACACATTATAAGAGATAAACTGCCGATGAAATATGAATCGCTGTCTTTCAAATGTTTCTATTTATTGATATCTCTTGAATATATAATGAAACAAAGAAGCTTGAGAAAAAAACAATCTGGAGATGGAGGAAAAACTGGATATTACACATCTTACGGGGGATAACATGCTCAGGGACATCTTGGAAGGGAAGATGGATTCAATTCAATTCAATTTAAATGAACATTTATTTTTCTTCCAAACAATACAATTTATAAGTAGGAACATAAATATAATTAAAGAACTTGTATTACAAGGAAGAAGGCGCGAAACCCGAAAAGCATAGCTTGTAGTGGGTACACCCGAATACATAAATACAATTATACATTATAAATGGGAGAAAGGAAGAAAGGAAGAAAGGGATAGGCAAAGAAGAGAGGAGGATAGAGAGCTTGGAGAAGGAGAAAAGAAGAGAGGAAAAGAAGAGGACTGCAACATAGTATCAATGGAGTGTATGGCATGCATAAACAACATAATGGCAAGATATAGGTGAACGAGGTAAACGAGGAAGAGGAACAAGGGAATTGGGATGGTGTCAAACTTGTTTGTTTGTTTTTATTTCCGTATAAAATCATCACAACATACAAATACATACATAAATCAAATATACGGCGGATAGCCCATTTCAGGCGTATTAACAAAATACGCCTGTTCTTTCATGGGGTTTGGAAATTACATAAAAATCAAATAATTTATACAATCATCAGGAAATTAGAATCAAAAGTAAATTTAATATAAACATTTCAATACACAAAACATAAACGATATAAACATAAGCTTGGGAGGTGACAGATCATAAAGAAGAAGGCTAAAAATAGAGAGATATGGAGAGGATGAAGATGAGGGCTCTGATGTGTGCCCCTGCCTTTGGCTGAACACCAGAGAGAGAGAGAGAGAGAGAAGGAGGAAAGAGAGAGAGAGAGAGAGGGAGGAGAGAGAGAGAGAGAGAGAGAGACTTATGTGCAAATACAACGATCATACCGGCTAAGAGAATGACTAGGCCCCATCAGGCACAGATTTCCATCATTCAATAAATACGTAATAACTATTTGTTCACCCGTCGGACAGAGCGTCCATTATTCACGCACGAGGATTACACATTTTTACGTTAAGATAGTTTCAATTTGTTTTGCTCGCTCAAAATATTAAAAAAGAGGAAAGTTTGCTATTCGGGGAAAAGACGTCAACGCCGCCCCCCCCCCCTTCCCTGGCGAAATTTAAATAGCAGTGGTCCTGGTGCGTAGCTATGAGTGGGGAGAGGGTAGTCGTCCATTAGGGTTAGTTTTCCAGGGGTAGTTGTCCTAGATAGATAGATAGATATTTGGTTTTATTCAAGAAAAATACTGATTAAAAAGTCCGAAGATTAAACAAGTCAGTTAACAATATAAAATGCATAACAAAAAATATAACAAAATACTATGAAGTATACAACGTTTTTAAAATATACCATAAATAATTATATACAATTACCATAAATGATTATATATAATTCTATTCTATCTAGTGAAAGGACTTGGAATTAAAGTTAAAAACAAATTAAAACAGCTTTGAGAGATCACAATACTAATACTTGACATAATCATTATGCAATAATTAATTAACATTTACAAATTCACAATGATATACAAAATACGAACGGTACAAGCAAGAGCAAACATAATGGCCCGAATTCACAAAGGAGGTTTGTCGACAAACCGAGGTTTATGCCCGCCCCCCCCCCACTCAGTGTTATTTAGGGTACGCATATGCGTGTTCCAACCGACCCCCCCCCTTTTTCAGCAAAAGTCCGGTGTGTAAAGTCAATACGGCTCGACCTTTTTCTTTTGTATACGAGCCTTTTTCAGCACCCCCTTTTCAGAAAAAGTGCGGTGTGTAAAGTCAATACGGGTCGACCTTTTTCTTTTGTTACGAAAAGGACATTTTGGCAACACGCATGGGGTTCGTCCGTTCTCGGAGTGGGGGGGGGGGGGGGGGGTTTATGTACGTCATATGACGCGATTTGACGCGTTTTTTTACAAACCTGGTTTGTAAAAAAACAAAAGGAGGTTTGTCGAAACACAAGGAGGTTTGTCGACAAACCGAGGTTTGACGACAAACCTCCTTAGTGAATTCGGGCCAATGAGGGCATAACTAAGAAGTTGAATTCAGAAGGTTTTTGAAGTAAGGAATGGGAGAAAGCATGCGTCTTTGAGTTCGTATACGAGGTAATGTCATGTGTGTAGAGTTCCGAAGATTGCGACCAGTGATTGATTCTCTACTTTGTGGCAAGAGATGGCGATGATCAGGGGAGGTTAAAACTGATTTGGCAAATTTATTTGCTAGTTCGAGACGCCTATTATCCTATGGTAATGCGCTTAGAAACTTTTATAGATATCATTTAATTCTTATTATCCCATCAGGATCGTGGGTACTCCGTCATCATAAGTTGATTGATCACGTCGACAACTACTATCAAACACAACCCGATAAGGTGCGGGGAACTATCACGTGGTCTAGGTCATAGGGTAGACTTTGCCTTGTCTGATCTTGTTCCAAAATCGAGAACAGAAAAAAGCGAGAATGAGCCAAGCGCCTTCCAAAAACTCGAATATAGTGATGATTGAGAGACCAACCCAGAGGCCAAGCTGCCCGCCAATATCGCTCAGAAGATCGGCAATCTGAAATCAAACAAGTAAAATGAAAAGCTTGTGACATTTCAAAATTAAATACGAAATATGATAATTTTGGTAATTTAGAAATGTTAAGCCTCAAGTCTCAATTTCTTATGTGCAGCTCACCCTAGATCCAGCTATACGATATATGATCGAATATATAGTCGTGTTCATAAAATTAGCACGGCCTTATATCCAATTTCAAATTCCAATACTAAATGATTTATATATTCAAATGGCTAAACAATATCAATTTGAAAGGGCGTTGAGGTATTGTTTTAAGTTGTGAACAGTTTCGGAGATGTATGCGATGGAATTTGTATGAATGAAAAAGGGATGTAAGTATCTCGTCTCCATAATCGTAGATATCTGACAAAGAAAGGGAGAGAAAAAAGAAAATTACCCTGTATGCTGGTTCTTGTCGGATGTGTTCATAATTAAACTCATCGTAGAATATCTCCAATTTAGCCATATTCCTCCTATAAACAAGAAAACAATGAATAACAAATGCATATAAACGATGTTCATTAACACTGTGTTTTCGGTTAACATAAAAACTGACCTGACCGATTATTTAGAGTAGTGCAATGTGATGTAACATCTGTTGCTATAGCAACGACATATCATCCGTCACGTGTTGGTGATATCGTTGTTTTGAAGTTAATGTAACATTTCTTAGATTTTTGCAAAAGAATTATTTCTCTACTATCACCACTTCTACTGCTACTACTCCTACAATGATAATGATAGTAATAATAATAATAATAATAATAATAATAATAATAATAATAATAATAATAATAATAATAACAATAACAATATTAATAATAATAATAATAATAATAATAATAATAATAATAATAATAATAATAATAATAATGTTTTGGCTATCAATCTGCTATTCCACTAATGCTTCGATTAATTAACAAAAATCCGACGCTCCTTAATTGAATGCAGTTCTCGTTCTGTATAGTTTATAGATTTTTTTCTTAGTTTTTTAAAAACTGAATTCTTATTGATGAACCTTCAAGCATGAACTCTTGTATGAACATCTTTACTTTTGTTTCATAGTCAACGGCAACCATGTTTTTGATAACATATTAATCTGAAGTACTTGCATAGAACCATTATTTTAAACAATATATATAGTTATAATATAGCAGCCTGTCTCTATACACTGTAAACATTAATCCTTTTAATGTTTTATACTGCATGATGTTATACTGGTCAGAAACTGTTTCATTATCAGAATTCTAATCGTATACTGCATTTAATTACTGGTATTACAAACATCAACTGTAAACTCTTACTTTACTATCAACCACATTTTCTTTATCTTTCTTTCTTTCATTTTCACTATTTTCCCTTTGTTTCCTCCTCCTTCTCATTTTTCTTCTTTCTCTTTTCTTTTTCTTTCTCTTCCTTTTACCATATCACTTGAATTACCGAATGTATTCATTTCATATTTGCCTACTTTACATTGTACTATTTGCATGTAGTTTGTATGTTGCAATTTTATTTGTAAATTCAAGAAGTGTCAGCTTTTAGCTGTGAATTTGAATGTTTATCAATAAACCTTATCAATTACAATTACAAATCTCTTGCCGAAGGACATTAATACTGGACTGGGATTGAAACACTCAACCCTACGATTGAGAGTCAAGTAAATGAACCATTATACCACGACACATCCACTATCGACAGTTTATTCATTTGCACATTTGGTCGGCCTACTTTTGTTTAAAATACTTAAGCCTTCAACTCACCTAGTCCACTCTGCAGTGTTTTCACGATTGACATACCTCCGAATTTCTGCATTATACTCCACCATCTTTTCAAATAGCGTAGACTATGGATCAATATGAATCATGCGATAGAAAAGTTAGGATCAGTATATAAAGCTAGTTATATACCTAACTTAAGAAATCCAGCCATCTGATTGGTCGAAATTGCATTCATAAACTTATTCCTGTAAAATTCCCGGTAAAATTCCAAACCCATGTAATAGTTCTAAAATAATAGTTCTAAAATCCCAGTTACCATGGTTACAGGGAAAATAGTTCAGTCTTAGTGAAATACCCATAGGTTCACATGTTAAAAACTGGTTTGAGCGATCGAGGATACCGTACGTGTGCGAAGAATTGGTCGGTAATTTCAAACCGAAGGCAAAAATGGCTGAAGAAACTCTCCCAAGATTTCAACTTCTTGATGATGATCAAATGCAAGACTTGCTGACAGTAGGGACATGCTAGACAGAGCACCAAAAAGGGTAAATTAATTTCTCCATAATTTTTTTTCCAAAGTCTAGGCCTAGATTCTAGTGAGTAGGTCTAGTAGTGTTAAAATCCTTCCCGTAGAAATTGCACGGAATTCAGATTACACACATCCCTATGCATTGGCATTGCGCACTGGCATTGTATTGCAATATGCATTGGCATTGCAAACTAATATTGCTCGTGATTCTGAAGGTGATACTCAATAAGTGAGGTGTCATATGAAAGCGCAGGTTCTTCTCCATATTCCCCACAGGGCCGGCCCACCCCCAAAATTGTAAAAATATCTTGCTTAAACTAGAACCTAGATCTAGTCTACTCTCAAAGATACACTCATAAAAAAAAACCGTGCAGATAAACTAGAGAAAGGCCAATGTCGTCGGCCTTATGCCAAAAGGGCCTTAACCCGATTTTGGGGGTTATTGAGTTATTAACATCACCTTGTAGATTTCATCATTCTCTTTAAAATGATGTGCTTCACTTGTTGAAATTCGATTTATTTATGAAGATAATTATGAATTTCAAAAGGGCCTTAACGCGTATCTCATCTTTTTTCTTACGCCAAAAGGGCCTTAACCTACACGGATGATCTATTTGCGTTAGGAGGGCCTTTCTGGCAAACCAAAGGTGTTGCGAAACAATAAAATTTCCTTATGCCAAAAGGGCGCTAACTATGCGCGCGTATGTGCGCATAGTTACGCGCATAGTTACGCGTACGATAACGGCAGGTTAAGGCCCTTTTGGCATAACGCCGCGTAGGTTACGCCCCTTTTGGCATAATGCCGAGTAGGTTTTAATACGGCCCTTCTGGCATAAATACGCTACATTCAAGCCTTATGCCAAAAAGGCCCTAACATGTTTTTTGCACATAGCATGTACAATTCTGAATATTTTATAACAAATTTAACACATTTCATGTAAAACTTAATAACTTAACACATTTATCGAAATTGGCTTCAAAAGCAAAAAAAACGACCACAAATTTTGATTATTAGAGAGGCCAAAACCTTTAAACGCGATAACCTCGGAATGGCCAAAAGCAGTTAAGGCCCTTTTGGCATAAGGCCGACGATGTGGTGTCATAAGTTGACTCTTTTGTTTTCGGCATATAAAAGTATTAATGACTGCTTTAATATTCGAGAAATAGTTGTTTTTATACGCTCTCAGGAAGGTTACAATTTGGCTATTGCCCTCGGCACGCCTCGGGCAATGGCACAATTCTAACCTTCCCTTGAGCGTATAAAAAACAACTATTTCTCTCTAAGCAGTCATTAATACTATACCTTTTTCGCCGGAGGCCTAACAGTCATTATGATACAGAAAGTAACATAGGGCAAGCTTGATATGTCAGGAGAAAATAAATGCGTGAAACCGTCATTAAAAAGTAATTGTCCATGTATTTCCTGCGTGAAACACCGGGTGTGGGCACGTGTGTGCGTGTGTGCGTGTGTGTGTGTGCGTTTGTTTTGTGCTTTGTTTCCAATTTTATGGACTAATAATCATTCAGTGTTGGTTGTTTCTTCATTCAATACGTTACCAGATGCCCCAATTTTCCTTCAACAACGACTACTAAAACGAGACAACAAAACATATTAAGCAGGTACCATCTAACTTACCTCATAAGCATCTGAAGGCCAGGTGGAACAACTGACACTTGTCAAATGTGTAATTTCACTGTAATGGGGGAATGAGAGATTTTTGTTTTTGTTTTACACCCCTATGATTCAACACCCCTTCTATCGACACCCTCTTTTACGACAAGTTTAGATCAAACACACTTATGTTTCGACACTCCTATATTCCAACACCCAATTTTCAAAAACCCATATGTTTCGACTGCCTTATTTTCCACCTCCGTAAGAAACGATGATTTTTTAAAAATTTATTTCGACACTCCTTTGTTCCAACACTCCTAAGTTCCGAACACCCTATGTTCTGACTACCATATGTTCTGACAACCCCATGTTCTGACTACCCCATGTTCCAACACAAGACTCCAAAGTTCCTAAACCACTATGTTCCGATACCTCTATGTTTTGACATGTTTTGACAACCACTAAAATAAATGAATAATATATAAAAATTAAAATATATAATAAAAAATACTTACTGGCAGGCGAGGGGGCATTTACATTCCAGTTCGTCACAGGAATGGTCCATCTCGATATCGGCCATACATTTGGTTTCTGGAGGGAAATGATATATTGTATTTCTTATTTTAACATTGGTGGGCCTTATGAAAAGTATGACGACCATCATATTTATCTGCGCACTCGAGAAATAATCTAATAGTAATATGGTCTGATTTACTGAGTAGCCTCGTCAGTATCAATATTGCTCTCTTCGAGGACCCTTCAATCATACATCTACTCTATCTCAGCTATCATAATGTACGAAAGCATTGAAGAAATGTCTTCCTACTAGCTACCCATTATTCATCTGGCTGGAGAGTGGTACTTATAAAAGTAGATCCAGATCTTGCTAAATGACATTAGTGCCGTGACAGGGACTCGAACTCCATACCTCGTGTTTCTGGTAACTTATCCAAGAGACCAATACTTCTAGAAGTGTCGACATTGCACGATGCATACTTTGCACGAAAGTAGTTGTTAACCAGGCTAAAGCCCACATAACTTACAATGTCAGTCTCTTGAGCCCTCTTGTCACTTTTCATCAATGTTCAGAAGGTTCACTAAACCGCCAACCCTCTAGACCGAAAACTAACAAACAAAACACACGTTGTCGGTCTCGAAGACCTTCTTGCCACTTTTCAGAGAGTTTATTTAGACGGAAAGCCCCGAGACCGGCTGCCCCCCCCCCAAACAAAAACCACCCTGCAATGTCGGTCAATGGGTCTTCTTAACACTTTACATAGGTTTCAATAGACCGACGCCCCTTGGGAACGACAACAAACGATAGAGACGTGTTCTATCTTCCCTATGTATTTCTTGGTTTTAAGAGTCGTTTGGGGTGTCACTCTCGAGGACTGAAGGCCCACTGAAGGTCCTATTGAGCTGTCGGTCTACGCCCTCTACGCCAAGGCTTACCAACTCGATTGTTATATTCACATGGGTAGACGGTACGGTTGACTTTAAGAGAGTTTGGGTACGTTGCGTCAAAGCAATCACATCTACTTATCACCTCATTTTGGAAGCAACTCACTTCACACGTCTGTCAAAAAAAAATAGAAAAAGAAAGAAATGCACCTTAAAAAGAGACATAAACTAACTTATGGGGTACTATTTGATTGTTGGAAACATGTTATTTTTCCTCTGCATATCTTGTTGTTACCAATTTGTTTACATTCTGCTAGTTTTTATCTTTGATATGTGCTCCTTTCACAAATGTTACATTGTAAATTTAAATATCTGTTACCAAAATCTCAGAACTAAACTATGTATAATCATATTTTAAACATTTCATATTATGTATAATGATATAGCTGAACCTTCAACAAACTCCAGTTTGATTAATTGATGTATTTAGTTTAATGGATGTAGCATGTTTTTGTCAAACTAAATTCTTCACATACATCCAATATCTATCTACCTTCATGTTGTATGTGATGTTGTAATGTTGATGGTAAATATCATCCTCAATATCCGTTGACAGGTCTGCCTTGCAATCTCCATAGGGTTTCGGTAATCGATCCAGCTCGAGCTGAAACAAGATTACAAATTCGAGATTCAAGATTCAAATAAGGCTGAATTAAATCTCCTGATACATGTTCTCCTGACACGAACACAAAAATGAAGGAACTTGATAACAGAATTTGATATAGAGCAGATGTGAGGGATGGCCTGTCTATGCTGATTCCCCTATCAACATTTTATTGTGAATTTCGAAGTAAAATGTGATGCTTAAAACGATGCCGAGGCCTGATTTTTTAATATTGATGCCAAAATGTTATGTTTTAGGAGCCCACCATTGTTTTTATGCATTGAGTCAGAACAAATGTTATGGCTGAAAATGTTCGTTTGGTATAGAAAACCCACTATGAACAATACAGTAAAATATGGAACAGGTTAAAACTCATAAAAGACAACAGGGGCACTGAAGTTTCTCCAAAAGGGCCCAAAAGTTTTCTAAGACCGATAAATTCAGTTTCGTGGGCTGTACTATTTTGTCAGTTATTGCTCGATTCGTGGTCATTTTGGTTGTGTGCCTGAGGTAGTCAAGATTTCCCGTGTTTCAACAAATAGAATGATGAGACAGACGATCGCAAACTCTTACAAGAAACCAATCTCAAGGCAAATTCAATAGTCTAGTGCTTCAACTATTGAAAGATTCAACCATCACAATAGTGCCTTTCATAATCTTAATGTGATGTATAAGACAATGCATTCGGAAATTGAAATTGTATTTGAGTTGATTTCTTAAAAGTCTTGGAAATCATGTTGAGAGCGATTATTCTTGAAGAACGCTTTGTCTCACCTTGATAAATGCAATGGCAGTGGCGAAACCTGGGGACACCAAGACGCCATCTTCTGCAGGGAATGGCATGATGGAAGGATGGTGGACGCTGACCCTAAAACTTGCTTCTTCTGTCATACCTTCTACGTACTCATCCTGCTGCACAAACAGCTCCAGAGAAAGACCTGGTTTGAGTACCAAACAGTCAATAGGCCCATTAACTGACCGTTAGGAATATGCAAATGAGATGATGATTAATAGGGTAATTTCAAGATGTTGCTCGAGTTGAGAATAATAAACGGATCAAAGGTAACCAAATCGTCTTGATTTTCTTTATATATTAATATAATTCTGAGTTGTGGAAGGGCCAATGTGAGTTGATTGCCCCGACCCAACATTACACTCTCTCCCTCTAAAATAGAATGAAATTTTACTCTATTTTCACTCTACCAACATGGTGTAAATTTAGTGGACATTCACCCTTAAACCTGACACCTCACTCATCCCTTTCGCGTATTCATCAAACTGAGAAAAGAGCTCCAGAAAAAAAAAAAGTTTTGGAGAACGGTGGAAGCCTATATCAAACATTCACTTATACTCACTCTAAATAAAGAGTGACATTCACTCTATTTCCAGTGAGTCACATCAGTGATTACTTAATCAGGATTGAATATCAATTTTTTTTTTTAAAGAAGACTTAATTTTCACTCTATTTTTTCATTGTTGTCACCACCCCAGGAAGTCACGTTAGTGATCACTCGATCTATGAAGTGATCTCTAATATGACTCTTAGAGTGGCGATTCTACCCCTCTGAGAGGACGGTCCTAACACTGCTATTTTAGAACATTGCCATTTTAAAGTGAAAGTTCCTAAGTAACTACGTCAAAATGACTAAAGCAACTTAAACCGTAACTCTACTATAACGGTTAAATGCCGATTTTTGGATCATTTAGACAGTTTGCATAAACCAATGGCACGTCCAAAGAGCTAGACCCGTAGGCTGGAGGTAGGGAAGGGGAAGGGGAAGGGGGCTTGGTAATACCACTCACAGCACGGTATATAAATTTACATCACGAAATATACGACAGAGAGAATTAGATATCAAGAACTTTGATAGGGTGAAGCTACTTATTAATCTATTTCAAATAGAATCCTATTGAATTGCATTGAATTTTCAGGGTTGTCAATTATTTAGTTCGGTTCAGTTAAGCGTTGGTCACATCTGCGTGTTTTTAGTCCGTCCCGGCCCCCCCCCCCCACTCAGTGTTATTTAGGGTACGCATAATTATGGGTGTCCCAACCGACCCCCCCCCCCCTTTTCAGCAAAAGTCCGGTGTGTAAAGTCAATACGGGTCGACCTTTTTCTTTTGTTACGAAAAGGACATTTTGGCAACACGCATGGGGTCCGTCCGTTCTCGGAGTGGGGTGGGGGGGGGGGGGGGCGGGTAGTCCGTACGGTTTTTGTGTAGGCCACGGCCGCCACGTTTTTCTGAAAACGTAGGGAGGGACGCCACGCCTGGCCGTGAACGGTTGCGTGCATCGTACGTTGCGCACGTGTTAAGTGCGTTGTACGTACTTACAACGTGCTTACAACGTACGGTCTCCGTGCGGTTGCCACGTTATCATACGGAGGCCGTACTTACAAGTGCTGCTCACGTTCGGTGTCCTTACTCACTCGCATGTTGTAAGTGCGTGCACGTGCGATGAACTGTATGTTTATATAGGACGACATTCCGATGTTCTCCAGAAGTCCCAGCTGTTGCTGCCTCAAGATGCCGCCCATTCCACTGAAGAGACTATATACTGCATAAATCAGTGCGAACAACGTGCGTCGTAAGTGCTTACTCGGTACGGTCCACGTGAGTTCTGCGTGCTCATTGGATAGCTGAACTGGGGAAGTGGCGAGTAAGCACGGACCACGCACTTATCACGTGCGCCTTTAAAAGACGCACGGAGTCAGTGCATTGTGCGCTCGTTGGCAGTACCGGGCACGCACGTCACACGCACTGGGGTGAATCGGTAGCCCGAACGCAGCCCGAACGCAGCGAAAGTTCCTTGTGCACTAAAAGTGCTACGGTGTGTCTGCGTGCTCCCAAATCCGTACGGAGGCGGTACTCATCACGTACGGATACCCAAATTTTTCCCACGTTTTTGCACGTAGACAGCACGCACTTGCAAGTACGGCGGGATGTGACCACCGCATTAAAGACCGTCAACACTACTGGGCCAGAAGGGATTAGACCACATAGTGAGGTCACTAACAGGTGGCTATCTCATTAACTCAGCTCTCAACTAACATAAGAAAAGAGGATCATGGGGGACCAACAGGCACCGATTGGGGAAGTTTTCTATATAGAGGGAGCAAGTAGCTGCAAGTAGGGCAGTGGGGCTTTAAAAGTAAAATTCTTCTCTTCTACAAAAGTATTCACATTCATTGCTCAAATACAAGATGTAATATATTATAAATAGAGTGATTCCTTTTTAGAAGGCGTTAATCCCTTTATAAGCGTATGTCGAGCACGCAAAAATTGAAGTGGATGATGTTTGTTTGTTTGTTTGATTTTATTTCTGCATTTTTTAACATGATAACAAGTCATAAACAAACTAGGTACATAAATAAATCAAATAACTATACCTTATAAAAAAAACATAGTTGACACATCATTTCAAAATTGAAAAATGCATGAGACCGCCATCTTAAGCGAGAGCTTGAATGTGATGGTGGCCTTGCATATGATGTAATCCGTAACCACCTATTATGAATAAATGAAGGAGTGTTGTTAAACTTACCGTACTTAGAGCCTGGTCGGGTGGTGGTTAATTGTTCCCCGTTTTGTCCAGAATTGAAGGTGTAACAGTTTCCCAGTTGGGAGTCGTAAAACTTTGTAAAATTTCTGTGAAGTAGAAAAAGTGAAACGTTAACTTCCATGCTGCTTATAAGTATCGGCTTGCATGGTGATGTAGATATACAGTAGGCCTGCGGTTCAGGACTTGCGGCTCACGACTCCCCAATCCTCCCCCTCTGTCACATGGTGCAACCTCAAGCCTACTGTATAACCAGGGAGGTTTAAACTCTCACCTCCCTGGTATAACATTAACTTTATTTACAAGAAAAGGGTCACATAACATACTTTTCCTTTATACCAACTTTCAAAATCTTATTTTGAGTCGTGGTGACCTTGATCATTGATTAGCCATTGTATATGGATATGATTTCTTTGATTATTTGTGGTTATAAACGATTAAATTTGTCGAATTTGTTGTGTAAATAAAGAGTCCTATGGAAGAGGGAAATAGTTTTTTTTACATGGATTTTGAATAAAAAAAGACAATTTCTTTTTCTTTTCAATATTTTTTTTTTTTTTTTTGGGGGGGGAGGCTTTACTCAGCATCTATCGCCAAATTTGAGAAATCTAAGGAGAGAGGACCCCCTCTTTATTGATTGTTGGAAAAATTTCCAGCTAACTAAATTTGGTCCTTAATGGTCCTATATACAGCGGTGTCCCTAATTCTCATAGTGGCGGGTCGGAAGGGGGGTGGGGGTGGCACGTGCTCTTCGGTTTAACCCAATTTGGTATAGCTTAATTGTACATTAAACAGGTATCAAATGAAAATAAAACTTGTGCTCCTTAATTGTGCCTCTTGACAACAAATGTAGACCCCGAGGCCAACAGATAATTTACAAATATTTTTTCTTTGCTTGCCAGAGACTATTCTTCAGGCTGGTGCACCCCACCCCCTCCCCGGGGCCAAGTAATGTCCTTACTCGGGCGAGCAGGGTTTGCCTTTCCAGGAGCAATCAAGTAGCATATCATCCAACTTATGACCCAGAGAAACCCGCTCTTCTAGAGTCTCATTGGCGAGAGCATCTACTCGAATACGACGTTTCTCGTAATCCACAGATTCCATGACATAGAACGAAGGTGAAGCGATACGAGACTTCCAGTCTTTGACAGCCTGAAAATAGAAAAAAATAAAAGATGGATAAAATCAACTGATAATCGATGTATTTTTGATTGCTTTTGATTATGTATTTGCGCTGCCATGCAAACTTTCATTCCCGTTTTTGTATTTAATTTAGGATTTTGGTCGAAGGGTTTCATAGATCTGTCATTTAATTTAGAAACTGCTCAACTAGCATTCAAATTAATCGTCACCTGTCGAGGCGTCATTTTTACCATTTAAATTAACACCTGTCATTCGTATTCAAAATACGTTTATTCAAGTTAGGAACGTTAGGGCATATGCCACACACGTAATAAATAATGCAATTAAAATGCATGATTTGCCATTGGGGTCTATTCTGTTAGTCCATTTATTCATTTTCAGGACAATTCATATGGGTGTAGTCAGACATTAAAGGTACTATGTCCCATTTGCAGGCCAAAAAAATGAAAAAGTTAAATTCCAACTGCATTTGAAAGATAATACAAATTTAGAACTTCCCTATAAAATGTGGGGCTTGAAAATGTCTTCAAATGGGAAAATAACGACTATTAGTTGTCAATCGACTTTAGGGCTATAGAGCCCAAAAGTAATAGTCTTGATTTTCAGACAATTGTACCGAATGGTCACACGTTTTATGCTGCGCAAAGAGTCAATCAGTTTAATCTTGGCCATCACAAGAAGTGGGTTACTGGTGTAGACAAATGCTCATGTACCTTTACAGCTCTTTTTAAGTATGTTATACCAAAGAAGAAAAAAAGCCAGTCAGTCACTCAATAGTGTCTGACAGTGAAGTCTAGCAGGTAAATGTGTTTCCTTGCATAATTTGGATATGAGGACACTGCTAACGTTTCAATTTCACAGATAGGACATACATGACATATTCATAATTCCTGCAAAGTTCTACAGCATTTGAGGTTGGCTGCAAAAGGGACATAGTACCTTTAAGTAAAGAAGGGGCGAAATCAAGGGATATGGCATTTCTGCACGGACATGTTCATATACCCGGGAAAGGTGGGGGTATCCTCAATCGCCCCTTTTACTGCAGACTTGGAATTTTAGAAAAGTAATTCACATCGTCTCTTACACCCATCACACCTAAAAGACAAGACAAACATCTTCCTAACATGAACATTTACAAACATATTGAGACCATCAAGTCCGTAGATGCAAGTCTTTTTTTCTTTCTTTCTTAACAATCAAACTTAACTGCTGATGAATATCAGATAAATCTAATAAGTATAAGTGTATAAATGAAGAAAATAAAATATGATGAAATACACATGAAAAAACAATCTTGAAAGAAAAAGAATGAGCTTTAAAAAGTGTGTAATAAACGAGAAATGTATATTGACCATCAATTTAAGAGCACAAAGTGCTAATTTGAATGCTATACAAATGAATTAGAATGCTAAAAGTACACCGTCGCGTTGTCAGAAAATCGTGTTGCGCCAAATCGAATGACCAAATAGCGAAAAAAAGCACACCGTTCATTAATTCGAATGAAACATACATAGATTCTAACAAAAACTTCATACATTTGAAAACTACAAAATACCGAGATATACCTGACAGCACTAAAACCGTCGAATTTGAACGCAAGACAAATTTATTTTAATGACAAACTCGCGAATTTGGCCTGAAAATTATATTCTCTACTCCTACTACAACCATGCGCGGATGCACGGGGGGCCCGACGGGCCCGGGTCCCCCTGACCTTTTTTAAATATTTAAAAAAAAAACAATAATAATAATAATTAAAAAAAAAAAAGTTTTATATAAAAAAATATATATATTTAGTGCTCACACTACAACCCCCCCCCTCCCCCCCACTGAGCGAGCGAAAATAACGGTCTGCGCGATTTTCAAATTTGAACCATGGTTGAACCCAACCAAATTGATTAACGACCGAACATGAACAGCTATTGAATATAATAATTAAACATAAATTACCTCAGACATGTCGACTTGTTCATTAGTAGACCCTCCTTGAGTTTCATTGCCAGAATCTGAATTATTGAGCATAGAAGGTGTGACGCCATCTAGAGTCAAATCATAAACATAATATCTTATGGAATATCAAAGTCCTTTAGATAGAAAATGATAGTCGCAATGACAATTTATTACACTTTAAAGTATTTTCCTACATTATAAGTATTACAGCGTAGAGCACCTGGTAATCATTGCTTAACGAACTTAAAAATCAGCGGACTTTTTGACTATGTTCTAATTAAAATGGCTTTATACATTATTGATCAAGAAACCTGTCAGTGTAATTAGCGAGTGCAAATTGCCCCCCCCCCCCCACCCAGAATAATCATTTTCCTTTATCACAAAACTGATAAGAGTGCGGTGCGGGTAGGTTAAGCTATGGTCACAAATCAGAGCAGCGACCGACCGATCAGTAGCCTGCTCGGTCGCTGCTGGAATTAAGCATCGCCCAGCAATTAGGTCGGTGCCTGGGCGGCGACCGCCCAGGCACCGAGCGTATTTTGGGCGGCGAGTGAAAAATGAGCAGGCGCCGCCCAAATTTTAACTCCGCGCTAAAACTTCAGCGGCGACCGAGCGATGCCCTAAAAACGAGCGGTGCCTGGGCGGCCGCCGCTCGGTGGCCGGGCAGCCGCCGGGCAGAATTTGTTAAAAACTCGCCGCTCGGCCGCCGAGCAGCCTACTTTTGGGTAATGTGACCATAGCATAAAATGCTGTCTGCTTGCAAGCATTGCAAGGCGCCCCCTATCAGTACATTGGTGAAGAGGGAAACTACGTCAAACGAGACCATGCGTTCTTGTGCGCCAATGGTTTGCTCTGCTATGAACTCTACAAAACCACTCGAATTGGGAATCGTATACTCAGTAGAACCGGTGAGGGGAGAAAGAATCTCTGCTACGTACGTCGTGATCTTTTGATCCCTTGTTGACCTTACATTGCGAGACAAACGAATAACAATAGCGATATTATTTTCGATACTATATCCGCAATGAGAATTTAGCATCAACAGAGATATTGGCACAAATAGATCACATACAAAGATCTGATGCCTCATCAATGAGAAAGTAAAGGTGAAGAGGAGCCTAGCTACGAAATAATGAGCGTATCCTTGAGTATTTATAATAATTGGTGCGGAAATAATTTAGAAGCGCGGAGTGCTCACAGATATGACATGCATAGGGGTCAATTTGTTTACATCAAGAGAGTTGAGGGTTGGGGTAATACAACTTCAAGCTAATGTGCACCACCTCCTTTCTGATGATCCTATGAGTACCTCAGTTTCTAAAAACCGATTCCAGACCACTCGGCTTAATTCAACTTTCTGTTCGGACTGTTATCGGTCTGAAGTTGGTCTTGTAATCATGTCTTTGGTATAATTCGTCTCGAGTGTTGCAAACAAACGTAGACTTATAATGAGCCAAATAAAGATAATCAGTATTCACTTTCATTTTTTTCCTATTTGAAAGTGACAATATCGTTTTATATATATATTTTTCACATTAATAAAACACTTCGCCCCTCTCAATCAGTTTGCTCCCTGGTCCCCCGCATTTCGCCCCCCCCCCCCCCGGCCGCGAATTTTTTTTTCCCAAACAGGTTTACCTATGAGAGTAAAATCCTGCCTCCTGATTGGTTCAGAGGTATACGCGTCATGAATATTCACGAGCTGAGTTCACAGCACTGTGGCTGAGCTGCAGTACCTAGTATATGTATTACGCATGCGCGTGGACTTCAGTTTTGCTGGCCATTTAGGTGTACAAAATGTATGTGAGCTAGCTGTGGTGCGAGGGGATTTTTATTGGGGGAAGGGAGGGGGTCTGTTTGTTTGTGAACATTTCAGGTTATTCTGGTGCTTGGTTTATATAGTTTTACACTGCGGATTTTTTTTCTCAAAGAGCTCACTTACAGTACACACACTAATATTCCAATTTCACACATAGGCTATACATACAAACACTATCTTTCTCTCTCTCTCTCTCTCTCTCTCTATAAACACAGACCCACCCACCCTCATGTATTTACAAACACATAAGCAACAAATGCACACACTAGCTGTCAAGAATACACAATAGACACACACAAGGGGTATGAATTATCTTATCAGGATGGTCCGACATGAGATGGTTGGATGTGGGTCAAAGCCACTGTGTTGCTCTGAGCATGATATCTTGACAAACATTTAATATTATCACCCGTAACTGAAACCAACACACAATTAATATCACGGTATTAGTCTCTTGTTTGTTCCACCAAGCTAATTTTTGCACCTTGCACAAATGCACTTCTCAACACGAAATATTTCACTAAATTTGTTTTGTTATTTTCACCCAAAATTAATTCAGCCATGCTCACTTTTAATCACTTCACTTATATCTTATTTAACATTGAATACAATGCAGTTGCATGGGTTGTTCTTTTATTTTGTTAACTCGGCAGAGGCCACGGTCATGTTCAAGCATTTACGCTTACGACATGTGGTCTCCTGCTTTTTCCTTTTGTATGAAACAAATTTTGTCAAACTTACATGTTATTCATTATATTTATTTGTATGTTTCTTTGTATTGATATGAAAAAGTGGAAATAAAACAAAACAAACAAACATATCAGCGGTTCTGGTTCCTTTGTGACAGATGAACCTGGCCAAAGAAAACAAAGGACATAAAGTAATATATACAGGCTGTACACATGTCAAAGACAAGCTTTTCTATGCATGCAGTGTATAGCCTACGTACTATAGCTGCGCTGCATCAACGAACTCAAACTTGGATTGCGATGAGCTGCATGAGCAGCTTCGCCTTGTGTCACGCGCATGCGTAATACTACTAGTATCTTTCAGCTCAGTCATGAATATTCATGATGCGTATACCTCTGAACCAATCAGGAGGCAGGATTTTACTCTCATAGGTAAACCTGTTTGGGAAAAAAAAATTCGCCCCCCGGCCCCCACTCCGGGGTCGGAATGACCGCATGAGTGTTACAAAAATGTCCGGTAAAGGGGTACTTTTCACGCACCAAAGTCCGGCTCGTGCATACACAAAATTCTCGTTACCCTAAATAGGTACGAAAATCTCGAAATTCGCGAGACGAGGTAATTTTCACTCTCTCGGGTCGTCACTACAACTTCCGGTATAGAGTCCCATCCCGCTGGCGCTAGCGCCTGTGTTCGCTGTGCAGAGTTTTCACGCACGCTAAAATCAGGGTTCTTACGCTTGGAATCATGAGCCCAGCACTGTGCAGCCTCACAAAAGAAAACCATCGTCACTGATGTCAAAAGACGCAAAAAACAACGAATGAAATGTTCAAATAAACGTTGAAATATTTGCGAAAAAAAAAAACAAGACCGAGCAGACGACATATTCGGTGCATACACGTTGTGTTTTACGTTTGCGCTATCGCGCCTAGTAATATAGCGCCTGCACAGGAAGCTGTAATGTCGAAAAGCTATCCCATAATGCAATGCGCGTTTTCAGGATTTTCCCCGGATCTCGGCAGAATCGCTATTTGGGGTAGCGAGAATTGACTTTACACACTGGACCTAAGGGTGTTTTCAAAAGGAGGGAACACGCATATGCGTACCCTAAATAACACTGAGTGAGGGGGGGGGGGACGGGGTTCTCCCCGGTCATGAAAAAATATCGCCGCCCCTGCTTGTCGGGCAGGTCGGGAATGTCCAAGTCTTACCGAGCATGTCAGGTAGGGGCCAGTGCTGGTTGGGCAGGTCGGGAATGTCCAAGTCTTACCGGGCATGTCAGGTAGGAGCTGCCCGCCCCCCCCCCAACTCAGTGTTATTTAGGGTACGCATATGCGTGTTCCAACCGACCCCCCCCCCCCTTTTCAGCAAAAGTCCGGTGTGTAAAGTCAATACGGCTCGACCTTTTTCTTTTGTTACGAAAAGGACATTTTGGCAACACGCATGGGGTCCGTCCGTTCTCGGAGTGGGGGGGGGGGGGGGCGGGAGGAGCTGCTGGTTGGGCAGGTCGGGAATGTCCAAGTCTTACTGGGCATGTCAGGTAGGGGCTGCAGGTAGGGCAGGTCGGGAATATCCGAGTCTTACCGGGCGTGTCAGGTAGGGGCTGCTGGTCGGGCAGGTCGGGAATGTCCAAG